GAAGCGCTATGCCAGTGTATGGGATGGGCCGCCTGGGAATCTCCTTATTGGTGCCGGACCATTTCGCCTTGGGTAGCACATTGCTTGTACGCACGATGTCACGACCTGGCTCCACGCTCTTCGTATACGGCTTCGCATGCTTGGGATTTCCTTCGCTCGCGCTGGATCTTGTCACGGTTGGCTCAGCATCCCCTTTGCACGGTTTCGCCCACCTGGAGCCATCCATGTTCATCTATGGCATGTGTGTGGTGACCGAGGGCTTTAGGACAAGAGGCTATGCCGAGTTTTGTAGCTCGTACTTGGTGAGAAGTTTTGCACGCCTGGGCTCGCCTTCGTTTGCATATGGGCTATCGTGGCCCGAGCTTCCGTTGTCAGTGCTCGACTATGTGCAAACCGAGTCCTCCTTGCCCCTAAGAGGACCTTCGTGCTCGGGATCGTCTCCTCCCGTCTTCGGCTTGGCCTGCTCGGAGCCGTCACTCTTCATCTTGGACTTTGTGTGCCTGGAGCCTTCGATGCCCGTGAGCAGCCCTATGCAAGCTGACAGGACGCCCCTGGCATCCGACTACGCCAGCATGCAAAGCTCCCTCTCGCTGAGGGGCTTTGGCAGGCTTGGTTCCTCCATGCTGGCCTACGGCATGACATGACCTGGCTCCCTTCTGCTTGTCCTGGACTTTGTGCACATGGGCTTCCCGCTCTTTCTGCAAACGCCCTCTTGCTCGGAAGTGGCCGTGCCTGCTTATGGCGTCAGCAGGCCAGGCTTCTTGCTTCTGTTGCTTGATCATGCAAGCGTGGGCTTCCCATTCCCCCCACGAACTCACGCAAGACTTGGGCCTGCACCCCTTGCGTATGGGCTAACCCGACCCGATTCACCATCGCTGACAGTGGACCTTGTTTCTCTTGGCTTCTTGCCTTCCTTACACGGCTTCTGCTGTACCGACTCGATGCTACCTGCTTATGGCATTACACGTCTCGGCTTCTCGCTATCGACCTTGGACTTCCTGTTGACAGGAAGCCCGTTGCTTTTGCGGACGCTTGCCTGTCCGGGTGTGCCAATCTTTGCTTGCGGCATGTCGCGCTTGGGTCTCTCGCCATCACTGCTCGATCCTTTGCAGTCTGGCTCTTCTTTGCCGGCTCACGGCTTTGCAAGGCCTGGCAGTGCTGCCTTGGTCTATGGCATCGCAAGGCTTGGACTTCCTCTGCCTGTGCTGGACTCTGTTCAGCCGGGATCAGCCGCGTCTCTGCGATGCTGGATGCAAGCAGATTTCGCTCTGTCCGCCTATGGCATGTCGCAGCTTGGACTGGCCTCGTTTGTCCCTGATCTCGTGCATTCAGGATCTGCGATATCATCAAGGTACTACCTGCGTCTTGAATCAAGTCTGCTAGTGTATGGCATGTCCCAATTGGACTCCAGTTTGTTGGCTTTGGACTACGTACATCTGGGGTTTCCTCCATTGTTGCGAGCGCTCTGCTGCATTGACTTGACGATTCCCGTCTATGGCATGAGCTGTCTCGAATTCTTGGTGTTACTGTCGGATTCTATTTCGCTGGGTGCATCTTCGCTTTTGCGAAGCTTCGCCTGCCCGGGTCCCGCGCCGTCGGTGTACGGCTGCGCTTGGCCGGACCTGTCGCTCCCTGCACTGGACTTTGTGCACTCGGAGCTACCACCATCGCCACGAGCTCATGCCCGCACGGAAGCGTTGTTGCCGGTGTATGGGATGTGCCGGCCTGACTTGCCACTGCCCCTACTTGACTATATCCATTCCGACTTCTCCTCACTGTCACATGGTTCTAGCCGCTCAGACATCTTGCTTCTGGTCTTTGGCATGTCCTGGCCAGGCAGCTCACTTCTTGCCCTAGACATGATCCACACAGGAAGCTCCTTGCTGCCGCGGTCGCTTATTTGCTCGGGCTTCTTGTCGCCGGTCTATGGGGTGGCTCAACCGGAAGTGCTTTTGTCGGTTTTGGACCTTGTTCGCCCGGGACCTGTCTTGCCGATGCAAAGCCACCTGTGGTCAGATCCGTTTCTGCTGGTCTCTGGTGTGACATGTCCCGAACTGCCCCTTTCTACATCGGATCCCTTGCATCTAGACCTTTCATCGCCTCTTCGAAGCTTTACTTGCCTTGACCCATCGCTTCCCATATCCGGCATCTCTCAGCCGGAGTTCAGCTCACCTGCTGCCGACTTCCTGAGCCCCGGTCTGACTTTGCCTCTTAGAAGCATGATGCGGGTGGGCTCCATCATGCCGGCTTTCGGCATGACGCGACTAGGACTCCCTTTGTCAATCTTGGACTTTATCCACATGGGTTCCATGCTGCTCTTGCAAGGATCTATCAGAGCTGGCTTTTTGTTGTTTCCCTATGGCATCTCGACTCCCGGCCTGCCTGCGCTTGCGTCGGACTCTGTGAACTCGGGAGCTTTGCCGTCCTTGCAATCGTCCTTGTGCCTCGACTTCCCGATGCCTGTCTATGGCCTAGCACGTCCTGAGTTTTTCTTGGCCGTCTTGGACCTTGTGCATTCAGACTTGACTCCGCTGATGCAAAGCCCTGTTTGCCCGGGCTTGGCTCTGCTTGTGTGGGGCATGACCTGTCCTGGCTTTTCACTTCCTGCCCCTGACTTCCTGCACTCAGGACCCCTGCCGTTGCTGCATAGCTCGATGTGTGCAGATTTGCCCCCGCTGGCCTACGGCTTCTCGAAGTTGGGCCTTCCGATGTCGGTCCTGGACTCTGTAGCCGTGGGCTTCCCGTTGTTGCCTCGCAGCCACATGTGCTCGGACCTTTCGACAATCGCCTATGGTGCGGCCAGATCGGGGCCAACGCCTTTAATGCCAGACCCTGTTCTGCTGGAATCGGTGCTTCTCTTGCAAGGATCTGCGCACATGGAGTTCTCCCTCTTTGCATATGGTATGTCCCTCCTTGACAGCTTACTTCCGGTTTTGGACCATGTGGATTTAGGTCCACTTCTGCTTCTGCAAGCACTTGCATGTTTCGACTTCAGCATGCTTACCTTTGGCTGTGCCAGACTTGACTTATTCTTGCTGATGCTTGATCCCATGCAGGCTGACAGCCTTCCGCTGCTGCGTAGCCTGGTGCATTCGGGATTCTTGATGTTCGCTTTCGGCGTGGCTTGTTCGGGCTTGCCCCTGTCTGTTTCGGACTTTGTCTCTGTGGAGAGCTTGTTGCCACTGCACAGCCACTTTCGCTCCGGCCTCCTAGCGTCCGTCTATGGCATCAGCAGGCCTGAGGCAAGCTTGCCTGTGCCGGATTACGTGATGATGGGCCCATCGCTTTTGGTTCGAAACCTTTGCCGTCCCGGGCCGCTGTTGCCGGCATATGGAGTCACTTGTCCTGATGCACTGCCGCCGGTCTTGGATTCCACACACCTCGGAAGCTGTCCTCCACTCCGTGGTTTTGTTTGCATGGGTTCTTCGATGCCGCTCTACGGAGTTGCACAGCTCGACTCGCCTCTGTTGGCGCTGGATCTTGTAAGCCCCGGGCTCATGCTGCCATCACGGTGCCTTGCTTGCATTGAGCCCTCTTTGTTCCCTTTTAGAACCAGCCGCTTCGAGCCATCGATGTCGACCCCCGACCTTGTGCAAACTGATCCCTTGTTATCACTGCAAGGATTTACCCGCATGGGACCCACATTTTTGACCTATGGCCTGACACGACCTGGGCTCCCATCACTAGCCCTGGACCTTTGCCACTCTGACAGCTCAGCTCCTCTTCATGGTTCCGCATGTCCAGGCTTTGTTCCTTCACAATATGGCCTGATGCGTCCGGGCTTGCTCCCGTTCGCGCCCGATTCCGTGACTTCAGACCTTCCCTTGCCGGTGCGGGCTTTTCTTTGCTCGGGCTCCGTGTTGTTGGTTTACGGCATGAGCTATCTGGATGTCTTGCTTTCCGTGCTGGATTTCGTGCACACGGAAAGCCTTGTGCCGCTACATAGCCACTGCTGGACTGGCCCTTCGTCGCCGGTCTATGGCGCGACCTGCTTGGAAAGTACTCTGTCAACACTGGACTTTGTGCAGCCAGATTCACCGTCGTTTGTTCAAAGTTCTGCGCGTACGGGCCCTTCTGTGTTGCTCTACGGCGTGATGAGGTTGGGCCTCACGCTGTTTCTGCTCGACTACGCCCTGCTCGGCAGTTCCTTGTCTCTTCGCAGCTACGCGCAGGCAGGTCCACTGCCTCCAGCTTATGGGCTGCTGTGGTTGGACTCGCCTCCATCTTCATCAGATTTTTCAGGTCCCGAATCCTCGTCGCTCTTGCGCTCCTTCATGCAACCGGGATCCAGCATGCTTGTCTACGGTTTGGGCAGGCTGGACCTGTCTTCATTTATTTTGGACTCCGTGAACCTGGAGAGTTCCTTGCTGCCCAGAGCGCTTGCCCAAACGGAATTACCGTCGCCTGCCTACGGAATGGTCGGCTTGGGCAGCTCGCCTTTTGTACCGGATCACCTGAGTCTGGGGCCGTTCCTACCTTTGCAGAGCTACATCTGCTCGGGATTTTCGCTGCTTGTCTATGGCATCAGTCGTCTAGGCTCCAATCCGGTCGTGAAAGACTGCTTCGTCGGTGCAAGCTCGCTGCCTGTGCGTTCTCACGCTTGTTCGGGCTTCAGTCTTTCTGCTTTCGGCGTGGTGAATCCGGGCCTCGCACCTCTTGCGTTGGATCACGTGAATCCAGAGCTTCCCCTGCTCTTGCGGTCATTCATTCGCCTCGAATCCGCTTCGCCCGTCTACGGTCTATCTAGGCCAGGATTCTTGCTGCTTGCGCTGGACTCTTTGCATCCAGACTTCTCCATGTTGCTGAGATCACACACGCGTTCGGGTTCCACCACGCCGCTCTATGGAACGGCGAAGCCAGGCTTCAGCATGTCAGTGCCTGACTCTGCATCTCCAGAGGTTTTCATGTCGACAAGGAGCCTTCTTTGCCCGGGCCTGCCTCCTTTTGTCTATGGCATGGGCTGATCGGACTGGGGCACGTCGGCATTGGACTTTGTGCACATGGGCTTGAGCTCCTCGTCGCGTGGTCTTGCCCACTCTGATTCTCCACCTTTGGCCTACGGAATATGTCATCCCGGCTCGGCCTTGTCGGTGTCGGACTTTTTGAAGTTTGGATCCGCATCGTCCCTGCGAGGATTCCTTCATCTCGACTTAGCTCCGCTGGTCTACGGGATTGCACGTTTGGGTTCGACGCTCTTGGCCCTTGATCCCATCCATCCGGGCTCGACTTTGCTTCTTCGAGGCCTTGCGAGGATGGAGTTGACTTCACCCGCTTACGGCATGTCGAGGTCAGGGCTGCTGTTGCCAACTCTGGACTCCATGCAGCTTGGACTGTCGCTTCCACTACACAGCGCCATCCGGCTCGAATCCCCGCCATCAGCCTACGGCCTGACACGGACGGGCCCCTCCCTGTCCTTGCTTGACTCTTTGTCCCCAGGCTTCACGTTGCTGTTGAGGTCTTTCGTTTGCCCAGGCCTCCTGACTCCAGTCTATGGCATGGTCTGCTTGGAGCCGCTCATGTTCGTTGCCGACTTTGTCCATTTAGGCCCGTCTCCATCGCCGAGGACATCTTCTCAGCCTGGGTTGGCGCTCTCTGTCTACGGCCTCGTTTGCCCCGGTCCCAGCCTGTCTGCGCTGGACGTTATGAGTTTGGGCTCTGCTTTTTCTCCAAGTAGTTCTGCTTGTCCGGGACTTTTTCCGCTAGTGTACGGGCTGACATGCATGGGCTCCAGCCTTTTGGTGCTGGACTATGTGCAGCCGGGTCTTCCGATGCTGCTGCACAGCCACATTTGCTTGGACCCTCCGTTGCCAGCCTACGGATTGGTGTGCTTGGGCCCTACGCCACTAGTTTTGGACCTTGTCAACATCGACTTGGCTCTACCGATCCTGAGTCTTGCTCGCCTGGGATTCTCCCTGCCGGCTTTCTCCAAGACTCGGCTTGAGAAATCCTTGCCCGCCCTCGACTTTCTACACATTGGCTTGCCAACATCCCCTCAAAGCCTCATTAGGACGGGCCCGTCGGCTTCAGCCTACGGTTTGTCCCGTTCGGGGCCATTGCCTCCAGCGTCGGATCCTGCACACTCGGGAAGCCCGCTGCTGCTCCAGAGCTACCTTTGGTCGGACCTTCCGATTTCCATCTTTGGGCTGTCAAAGCTGGGCTTTCCCATGCCCGTGCTGGATTTCACTCTGCTTGGGCCGACAACGCCGCTGCGATCTCTTGCTCGCTTTGGCTCCTCTCCTTCACTCTTCGGTGTGAATACACCGGGCCTGCTCATGCCTGCGTCAGATCATGTCCAGCTCGGGCCAAGCGTGCTGCTGCAGGGCTCTGTATGATCTGACCTTCCGTTGCCAGCTTACGGGCTGACAAGGCCGGAATCACCCACGCTCACTCCGGATGTCATCACCCTAGATTTCTCGCTGCCTTTGCAGTCGCCCATTCGAACTGAGCTTCCGCTGCTGCTTTATGGAATCGCGAAGCCAGGGCCCTTCTTGCCGGCGCTGGACCTCGTCAGTGCAGGGCTTGCAGCTTTGCCTCGAAGTTTCCTGCGACCCGGCTCCACCCCACCTGCATCCGGGATGACGAAGCTGGGCTCTTTGCTTTCAGTCCTGGACTATGTTGGCTTGGGGTCCTTTCTGTTGCTGAGGGGCTCTCTTCAACCTGGTTTCAGCTTGTCTGCGTACGGCTTGGTCGGGCTTGGTTTGCTACCGCTTGCCTTGGACTTCGTCCACCCAGGCCTGGCCCCGCCCTCGAGAGCTCTTGCCTGACTGGGATCCTCAGCATTTGCTTACGGCATGTCGCGTTTGGGCTTCCCGCTCCTGGCCCTGGACTCTTCGCACTTCGGCTCGACGACGTCCTCGAGATCCCATGCGCACTCGGAAGTTACTCTGCTGGTCTACGGTGTGACGAGGCTCGGGCCTCTGCTGTTTTCACTCGACTGTGCAGGCATCGGAAGTACGACTTTGCTGAGATCCTTCGTTCGCTTGGGCTTCTTGCTTCTGGTCTTCGGCCTGGCATGCTCAGACCTCATCCTGTCCGTGCTGGACTCCGTCCAACTTGACAGCACCATGCCCTCGCACAGCTTCATTTGCCTCGGGCTGGGATCGTTAGCTTATGGATTGACGTGCTTGGACTTCCTTCCGCTGGCTCCTGATTTCGTTCATTTAGGCTTACCCATGTCACCACGAGCCTGCGTTCAACTGGAGTCGATGCTTTCAGCCTTTGGCATGTCGGTGCTCGGGCCATCAATGCCAGTTTTGGATTCCGTCCAGCTCGATTCGCTGCTGTTGCTGCGCAGCTCTGCTCGCATCGAACTGCCGCTGCTGCCTTATGGCATGGGACGACTCGGTTCCTCGATGCCCGCTTTGGACTTTGTATTTGCGGGCTTTTCGCCGTTCTTGCAAGGCCATTGCCAACTAGGCTTGTTTATGTCAACCTACGGCTTCAACCGTCTGGACTTGTCTACGTCAACTTCAGATTATCTGCACTCAGGTTTCTCCCTGCTTCTCAGGAGTCTCGTCCGAACTGGACCGTCTTTGTTTGTGTACGGCATGCAGAGGCTGAGCCCCATCCTGTTGGTTCCCGACCATATCACGGTAGGGCCCTCGCCGTCCCTACGTATGCATGCTAGAGTTGGACTGGCTTCGCCCGTTTACGGCATCGTGCGTCCAGATCTGCCTATGCTGCCGTCGGACTTTGTGCACCTGGGACCAGGACCGTCTGTGCAAGGTCTTGCTCGGGCTGGCCCCGTTCCGCCTGTGTACGGACTGGTCTGTTTGGGCTCTTTCCCATTTGTGCTAGACTTCGTCCACTTGGGCTCGCCGCCGCTTCTGCGGACCCTTGCATGGATGGGGCCTTCGATGCCCCCTTCCGGCTGTGTGCGCTTGGGCTCTAGCCTGCTCTCGCCAGATTCTGGCAGCTTTGGGCCGATCCTGCCAATTCACAGCTTCGCTAGGCTGGGCTCGCCTACGCCGGCATACGGTGTGACCTGCTTCGAATCCTCGACGTCTGCTTCGGACCTCATCCAGTCCGAGCTGCTTGCATCACTCCGAGCATTTATCTGCTTTGGCTTGGCGCCTCCGGCTTACGGCCTGACCTGTTTGGGCTCTTCGCCGTCAGTCGCCGACTTCGTCAACTCAGGAAGCACCTTTTTGTTGCAGAACCATGCATGACTGGGTTCAGTGCTGCCTGCCTTCGGCATGGTCTGCCTCGAGCTGCCCCTCTTTGCCTTAGACTTCTGCCACCCTGGCTTCCTGCTGCTCTCGCAGAACCACATGCACGCAGGCCTTTCATCGTCGGTCTATGGCATGACAAGGATCGGGCCTTTGTCGTCGGCCTCGGACTTTGGGCACATGGGATTCTCGGTGCCCTCACACGGTTTCGTGAAGATCGGGTCCACTTCGCCTTTGTTCGGCCTGTCGAGGCCCGGAAGCTTCTTGCTGGTGCTGGATCTCATCCAAACTGAGCCCTCGACGTCCTTGCAGGGGCTTGCATGCCCCGAAAGCACGACTTCCGCCTTCGGCATGGCCCGGATCGGCTTTCTTCCTTCGGCCTTGGACCTTGTCTCCCTCGACTTTCCGCTGCCTTTGAGGTCCTTTGCCTGAACCGGGCCGGCACTGCCTTTATACGGCATGGTTTGCCTCGAATTTTTGTCGCTCATTCTCGATCACGTCCATTTGGGCCCTCCCTTGTCGCTGCGTGGCCTTGGCTGCTTGGGCCTCACATTGTCGGCCTATGGCATTGCCAGGCTTGGGCCAATGACTCTGGCGCTGGATCACGTGATTGCGGGTCTGCTGCTGTTTTCGCGAACTCCGGCGTGCTCTGATCTCTTATTGCTGGTTTGGGGAATGTCCACATCGGGACTCTCACCACCTGCGCTTGATCCTGTAGCTCTCGATTCCCTACCGCTGCCGAGGGCGCTCTGCCGATCAGGGTCTGCGATGTTGGCTTACGGGATGGTGCGGCCAGGTTTCTTGCCGCTGGCATTGGATTTTGTTCGCACTGGACCGAGCCTTCCTCCGAGGACATCTGCTTGCATTGGCTTCGCGCTCTTTGCCTATGGCCTCACATGGCCCGGCCCACCTTTGCCGGTGCTGGACTCTGCGAATCCGGAGTCTTCCTTGTCGATGCACTCCTCCGTCAAAATGGGGCCCGTCCTTCTGGCTTACGGCTTGTCGCAGCTGGGCCTCATTTTGCTTGTTTTGGACTTCGTCCATTCGGACAGCAGTTTGTCACTGCGGGGCTTCTTCTGTACAGGCTTGTTGATGCCAGCCTATGGTATGTCTTGCATGGGCTTCTGCACGTTGGCGTCAGACTGTGTTCACCCTGGCCCGCCCATGCCGCCTCGCTACCACGCACGTTTGGGCTCCACCCTTCCAGCCTTCGGAATGGCCCGCTTGGGATCTCTGATATCCATCTTGGACCCCACAAACTTCGGGAGCTCTCCATTGGCCAGGAGCCATTTCTGCGTGGAGGCCTCCCTTCTTGCCTATGGCATGTCCTGGCTGGGCCTTCCCTCGTCTGCTTTGGACTCTATCCGACCCGAGAGCCTTTTGCCTTTACACGGCCTCTGCAGGCTTGGTGCGTTTCTGTTGGCCTCTGGCATGACATGGCTCGGACCTCCGATTCCTACTTCGGACCTCTTGCGTTTGGGCTTCCCCATTCCCTTGAGATCCATGCTCTGCACAGGCTTCGGGCTGTCTGTCTCTGGGATGGCACGTCCTGGCTCTTCGCCGCTTGTCCTCGACTTCATTCATCTGGAGTTTTCGACATCATTGCAGGCTTCTGCTCAGCTCGGATCCCTTCTGTCTGCGGCCGGTCTGGCACGGTCGGGCCCATCTCTGTCCACTTTAGACCTCCTTCATTTGGGCTTCTCCTTGCTTCTCCGAGGCCATGCCCGCACTGGCTTTGTTCTGCCGGCATACGGCATGACTAGGCTCGGCCTGCCCATGCCTACTTCAGATATGTGTCACCTTGGCTTGCCCTTGCTACCCCGATCGCTCATCTGCCTTGATGTTCCTGTGCCGGTCTATGGCATGGTTTGCATGGGCCTCTTGTCGCCAGTCCCGGATTTTGTGCATCCAGGTTTCAGTTCGTCGCTTCGGCATTCTGCACACTCCGGCCCGCCTCCTTTAACTTACGGCTTCATGCAAGCAGAGTTTCCGCTCTCGACACTGGACCATCTGTCGGTCGGCAGCCTCTTGCCGCTGAGAGGGCACAGCCAGCTAGGATTCACGACTCTCGCCTACGGCATGAGTCAGATAGAGTCACTGTCGTCCACATTGGACTCTGCAACTTTTGAGAGTGTCCTGTCTTCAAGGAGCTTCATGTGCATGGACGCTTCCTTCCCGGTGTCCGGGCTGTCGCGACCGGGCTTGATGATGTCAGCCTTGGATCCCGCTCAGCTCGGCCCCGTTCCATCCATTCGTAGCCTTGCGCAGTCGGAACTGTTCCTATTGGCCTATGGCCTGGCCAGGTCTGGAAGCTTTCTGCCCGTCTTGGACCTCATAAGCTCGGGCCCTTTGATGCTTGTGCAAGGTTCCGTACGGCTTGAGCTACCTCCCTCAATCTCTGGTTTGTCACAACCGGGACTGAGTACTCTGGCTTTGGATTTCGCCTCCTTGGGCCTGTTCCTGTTCGTGCGATCCCTCGTCAGGCTTGGACCTAGTCCCCCTGCATCCGGCATGTCATGACCGGGCTTTCCATCATTGGTACCGGACCACGTGCACTTCGAGCTGCCGATGTCGCCTCACACCCTTGCTCGCACTGGCCTGCTGCCGCCGGCCTCCGGGCTGGCTCGCCTGGGAAGCATGTTTTCGGCCCCGGACTACACGAACTTTGGAAGCGTGCTGCCGATTCGGACAACCGTTTACCCTGGTGCAGTCTTGCCAGCCTATGGCATCTGCAAGCTCGGTTTGACATTGCCCGTTACGGACTTTGTTCAACCAGACTTGTCAATGCTTCCACGGAATTTTGCATGCTTTGGCCCGGCCCCGCTTACCTTCGGATTGATGAGGCTAGGGCCCATGCTGCTTGCGCTTGACCTTGGTAGTGCTGGTGCTTTCTTGTCCATTCAAACTTTTGTCCGGACGGGCTCCGTGTCGTTGGCCTACGGCACATGTTGTATGGACTCGAGCCTATTTTTGCTGGACCCCGCGAGCCTGGACCCTACGCCTTCCTTGCACGGCCTCGCCTGCTGTGAGTCCATGCTGCTGCCATATGGCATGTCATGCTCAGGCCTGTCTTTGTCGATCCTGGATTCCATCCACACAGACAGCGTGTCATCTTTGCATGGACATGTCCGCTTGGACTTCTCGCTGCCTGCATTTGGAATGACCCGGCTAGGATTCAGTTTGTCCGCGTCAGATTCTGCACAGATGGGTCTGCCTCTGTTCCCTCGCGGGCACTTGCGCATCGAACTTTCAGCTTCTGTCTCTGGTGTTGGACGTCCAGGCCTATTGCTACTTGCACCGGATCCCATCCATTTAGGGTCGGCGATGCTTATTCGCAGCTTCCTGCAAGCCGGACCTGTGCCATCTGCCTATGGCATCGCCTGCTGTGGCCCACCTACGCCGACCTCGGACTTCGTCCACTCAGGCCCTCCGCTTTTGTTGAAGACTCTCGCTTGCGTTGGGTCGATGCCTCTGCTCTACGGGATGTCCCGGCCTGGCTCCGTCTCGTTTTCGCCGGACCGCGTGCACTCGGGGCCGCTCTCGTCCTTGCGAGCCTTCGCCAAATCGGAGCTCCTGATGTCGGCCTACGGAATCTGCCGGCTGGCCTTCCCGCTGCCAGTGCTGGATCCTGTGCATCTAGACCCGCTGCTGTTGCCGCACAGCCACAGTCGTACTGGGCCTTCAGCCCCAGTGTATGGCATGGCCTGACCCGATCTGCCGTCTTCCGTCTCGGATCACATCAACGTTGGCTTCTTGCCATCGGTACGCACTTCTAGTCGTCTTGATCCGTCCCTGTTCATCTACGGAGTGACTTGCTCAGGATTCCTTTTGCCACTGCCCGACTTCATCACACCTGGGTCGATGCTGTTGCTGCAGGCGCACGCTCGTCTCGGATCCTCTTTGCTGGCATACGGGATGGCACATCCAGATTTCTCTTTGTCAGCGCCGGACCTCTGTCAGACTGAGCCGCCTCTTTCGGTGCAAATGTTTGTGTGCCCTGGTTTCTTCACGTCGACCTCCGGCATCGCCAGATCGGAATCGCTGTTGCCCGTGCTTGACATGATGTCTACTGGACCACTCCTGCCCTTGCAAGCCTCCAGCCGAACGGAATTGTCACTTCCTGTCTACGGAATGTGCTGATCAGACCTGCCTCCTTCCGTGCTGGACTTCGTGAAAATCGAGCTGCTACTGCTGCTCCAAAGCTATGCCTGCACTGGTTCGTTACTGTTCGTTTATGGTCTGGCCTGCTCAGGTTCTTCATCGTTTGTCCTGGACCTTGTTGGCCTTGACCTGCTACTTTCACTGCGAACGTCCTTCAAGCTTGGCTTGGCTTTGCCTGCATATGGCTTGTCACGGCCAGGCTCCTTGTCTCCGGTGCTTGATCCCATACACCCGGACTCAAGCATGTCATTACAGGGCTCTTTCTGCACAGGCCCTGTGCTGCTCACATATGGACTGGCACGGCTAGGCCTACCTCTGCTGATTCCAGACTCCATGCAAGCCGAGTTGCTGCTGCCAGTGCAGGGCCTCGTTCGGTCGGACCCATCACTGCTGGCTTATGGAATGTGTTGTCCAGGCTTTGCCATGTCAATCTCAGACTGCGTTCGGCCGGGATTGCTGCTGCTTCTCCAGGCGTTCGCATGCTTTGGCCTCCTGCTGTCGGCATTCGGCGTAAGCAAGTTGGAAGCACTGCTGCCCGCGCCTGACCACATACAACCAGAGCTGAGCATTTCTTTGCGGGGCCACTGTCACACGGGTTTCCTAACGTCTGCTTACGGTGTGTGCAAGCTCGGCTCCCCAATTCCGGTGCTGGACTCCTTGCAGCCAGGGCCCTTCCCACCTGCCCGCGGCCTGCTTCGACCAGAAGTGCCACTCCTGGCCTACGGCCTGACGTGCTTAGGGCCTCTGCCACCAGCCCTTGACCTGGTACACTTGGGACCTTCGTCGCTGTTGCGAGCTTTCTCCTGACTTGACTTTGTTTTGTCTGCTTACGGCATGACCCGGCTCGAGGCTTTCCTGTTCGTACTTGACTATGCTGGCTCGGGCCTCTTGCTGTTGCCGAGGTCATATCTGCAAACCGGTCTGATTTTGCCAGCCTTTGGCATGTCACGTTTAGAGCTGACATCGCTGGTGCCTGACCCCGTAAACCCTGAACCCGCCCCGTCGCTGCATGGCCATGTGCGCATCGGATCTCCGCCATCCGTGTATGGTGCGAGCCAGTCAGAGTCTCTGCTGCTGGTCCTTGACTCTGTGTGCCTTGGCCCCAGCTTGTTCTTGAGAGGCTCCGTTTGACTTGGCATCTCCCTGCTTGCCTATGGCATGTCCTGTTCGGACCCGTCCCTTGTTGCACTCGACTATGTTGAGATGGGATCCCTACTGTCGCTACAATCTTTCATTCGGCCCGAGCCCATGATGTCGGTCTTTGGCATGGCGTGCTTGGATGTCTCGCTTCCTGCATCAGACTTCAGCGAGTTTGGCAGCCTTTTGCCGGTGCAGTCGCCCTTGCAAGCGGATTTGACGCCTCCGACCTCCGGCCTGACTTGACCGGAGCCACTGTCGTCGCTGTTGGACTCTGCGAATCCAGGATTTATGCTTCCGTTGCGCGGGTTTGTGTGCACGGATTCGGCACCATTGGCATTCGGAATGACGTGCCTTGGCAGCTCCATGCCGTCGCCTGACCTTCTGCATCCGGGCTTCCTGGCTTCTTTGCGCAGCTTCGTACATGTGGAGCTCTCGTCATCTCTGTTCGGTATGGTGTGCCCAGACTTGGTGCCTTCGATTCTGGACCCGGCGCACCCAGGCTTGTCCTTGCTCCTGCAAACGCCCGCACAGCTTGGCCCCAGCTTGTTTGCATATGGCATCTTCCGGCCTGGTCTTACCATGCCGGCACCGGATTTTCTCCACCTGGGCTTGACGTCTCTTCCAAGAGCCCATGCTAGATCAGGAGCTTTGCCGTCCGCTTATGGAATGGCCAGGACGGGCTCCCTACTTTTGGCTGTGGACTTCGCCAACCTCGGAGCGGCCTCGCTTTTGCGATCCTTCTTTCGACTGGGCTTCCCGACGTTCGCTTATGGCCTGACGAGGCCCGGGCCTCCCATGCCCACACCTGACATGACAGCATCAGGCCCAAGCTTGTCCTTGCAGTCCTTCCTTTGTCTCGACTTGTTGCTGCCTGCGTACGGATTGACCCGCATGGGCCTCCCATTGCTTGTGCTGGATCCCGTTCACATTGGCCTCGCACTGTTGGCCAGGGGTTTCGCGTGCTCCGGGCCGGCCCTTCCAACCTTCGGCATCACTCGCCTGGGCTTTCCCTTGCTGGCGTCAGATGTGACGAGTTTGGGAAGCTCCACGTCCTTGCAGGGCTTTCTGCGCCTGGGTTTGGTACTGCTTCTTTACGGACTTAGCCGACCCGAGCTTCCACTCTCAGTTCCAGACTACGCTGCTGCTGGCTTCCCTCTTTCGCCCCGCTCCCTCGTTTGCTGTGGCTTCACTTCGCCACCTTTCGGGATGGCGTGATCGGGTTTCTTGTCGTCGGTGCCGGATCCCGTGCAGCCAGAGCTCGCGTCACCGGTCCGAACTTCTTTGAGACTCGGCCTGTTCATGTCCACCTACGGCTTTGCATGTGTGGGGCTTTTCCTGTCAGCCCTGGATCTCGTCTCAGCAGGTCCTCTCCCGCCAATCCAAAGTCTTGTGAGACTCGACCCATCGCTGTTGGCGTCCGGCATGTCAAAGCCTGATTCCCCTCTACCAACATTGGATCCCGTTCACCTTGGCGCATTGCTGTTTGTGCAAACACATGCACGCCCGGAAGTGCTCCTGCCTGTGTATGGCTTGACGCGCTTGGAGCCGACCCTTCTGGTACCGGACTTCATCCACACTGACTTGCCTTTGCCGCTTCATAGCATGATCTGCCTGGGCAGCCCGCCCTTTGCATACGGCATTGCTTGTCTCGGGTTGCCTCTGCTTGCCTTGGACTTTGTGGGAGCCGGCCTGTCTCCCTCCTCACGCAGTTCCTGTCAACCGGACTTGACGACTTCTATCTACGGCTTTTCGACACCTGGCCTGCCACCGCTCGTTCCAGACTTCCTGTGCTCAGAATCGGTGATGCCTCTCCATGGCTTCTTACGCTTGGAGCCATCGATGCCTGCATATGGGATGAGCGCATCAGGATTGTCACTGCCTGTCCTTGACTTCGTGAGCGCAGAGTCATCTCTTCTTTTGCAGACGTATTTGCATATGGAGCTGTCGTCGTTTGCCTACGGGCTGAATCGCTTGGACTTGCCCTTGTTTCTATCGGACTCCGCGCATCTCGGCTTTCCACCGCCCATTCGTGGACTTGCCTGCTTGGGGTTCCTCCCGTTTACGTATGGCCTGACGTGCCTTGAATTGTTGCTGTTGGTGTTGGACATGGCGCATTTTGAGCTGCCGACGTCGGCTCGGGCTTTCGCCCGCCTGGACTCCTTGACGCCCGCCTTCGGCATCGCGCGCTTGGGCTCGAGCTTGCCTGCGCTGGATTCTGTCTGCCTGGACAGCACGCCCTCTTCGCGATCATCTGTCTGGATTGGATCTGTGCTGTTTGCATACGGGCTTACGTGGCCAGGTCCTTTTGCACCGATCTTGGATTATGTGCAGATGGGGCTCCTCATGTCCTTGCAGGCGTCTGCCCGGACTGGCCTTATTCCTTCTACCTCCGGCGTTTCCAGACCGGCAAGTTCGCCATCTGCGCTCGACCTTTGCAACTCTGGCTCAATGACGTTGCTGCGCAGCCTCGCGTGGGCAGGCCTGCTGCTGTTGGCATATGGCTTATGTCGAGTAGGTTTCCCGTCGCTCGCGCTTGACTTTGCCCATCTAGACCCGTTGCCGCCACCGAAGTCGATGTCCCGCTTGGAGCCGACGCCTCTAGTTTACGGCTTAACATGCTTGGGCTCATTTTTGCTTTTGCCAGACCATGCTCACCTTGGAAGTGCAACGTTCCTGCGCGGCCACACACGTTTGGGGCCGAGCTTGCTGGCCTATGGGGTGGTGCGCATGGAGCTCCCGCTGCTCGCTTCGGACCCCATAAATCCTGGCTCGCCTATGCCGCTGCATAGCTTCGTCTGGCTGGGATCTTCCATCCTGGTCTACGGCGCCAGTCGCCCCGGTAGCTTTTCGCCAGTGCTGGACTCCGTCCACACCGATCCGTCTCTGCCCTTGCAATCTCTTGCGCAGCTTGGAGCATCGCTGCTCACCTCCGGCTTAGTCTGCCTTGAAGTGTCGTTGCTGGCATCAGATTTCGCGCAGTGTGGGCCGCTGATGTCTCTGAGGAGCCTTTTGCGACTGGGTCCGGTGATGCTTGCCTTCGGCTTCTCCACCCTGGATTCGACCCTTCTGGTGTTGGATTTCGTGTCCACTGGCCTGACCACATCGCTGCAGTCGCCCATGCGGCTTGGTCCATCTTTGCTCGTCTATGGCTTGTCCTGGACAGGCTCCAGCCTGCCTGTGCCCGATCTCGTTAACCCCGGCCTTCCAACGTCTGCGAGGGCTTCCTGCTACTTTGGCTCCTCGCTCCTGGCGTATGGCCTGTTGCGGCCTGGGCCTTCGCCCTTGACCTTAGACATGATGGGCACAGAGCTTATGTTGTCCTTGCACAGTCTCGCGTGCATGGGGCTTGCCTTGCCGGTCTACGGCGTTTCTTGCCCAGACCTGTCGTTGCTTGCACCTGATCCAGTTGCCTCTGGCTCGCCTTCACTGCTGCAGGCGCCCATGTGTCCGGGCCCGACGACCTTCGCCTCTGGCTTGTCGAGGTCGGGATCTTTGCCTTCTGCGTCAGACCGTGCTTGCACAGGGCCACTGCTGCTTTCGCGCGGCTTCTTTCACCTGGACCCTTCGACGCCGACTTACGGCATGGGCTGGCTGGACTCCTCGACGTTGACTCTGGACCTCGTAAACATCGGCTTCGCTGCTTGGCTGCACTGTTAGCTGTGAGCTGTTAGGTTTACATGCTAGTGCCTCAACCCATGCATGTCCTCTTAGATGCACGGTGCACCCTCACGCGTACTGTAATCTGCGAAACTTACCTTTGGATCGTGTCCCACCGAGGTGCTTTTGATGCGAGCCTTTCTCCACTTGGATGCAAGCTCATCGGTGTACGGACTTTCAAACCCGGGATTTTTGCTGCTAGTGCCTGACTTCGTCAACCCTGGTAGCGCCTTGCCCTTGCAATCGCTGGCTCGTTGTGGCCCCTCCACCTCTGCCTATGGTTTGGCTCGGCTCGGCTTCTTGGTTCCAATGTCAGACTCCATGAGCGTGGAAGCGCCCATGTTGCCGCGCACGTTTACTCGTGTGGACTCTCCGCTCTTAGCGTATGGACTGGTCAGTTCAGAAAGCTTGCTGCTCGTTACTGACTCCCTTCAGGTCGGATCTCCGTCGGTGTTGAAGACGCTTGCATGGTCAGGCTTGGTGCCTTCTGCATATGGTCTGGTCTGTCCGGGCCTGTTTTTGTTGATGCTGGATTTTGCCACCTTGGGCTCATCGCTGCTTGTGCAAACCTTCTGCTGCCTCGGGTTTGTGATTCCGACGTATGGTGTGAGCCGCTCGGGATTGCCATCGTCGGCTTCGGACTCTGTGCATACAGACAGCGTGCTGTCGGTGCGAAGCTTCGGTTGCTCTGGCCTCCCTCCTCTGGCTTTTGGAGTGACCCGACCAGCATCCTCTTCGCTGGTCTCGGACTTTATGCACTCGGAATCGAGCTTGTTTCTAAGGTCTCCCGTGTGCATGGGCTCCCTGCTTTCGGCCTATGGCCTGGCGCGAACAGGTCTTTCACTATCTGCCCTTGACCTCATCCATGCTGGCCTTCTCCTGCTTGCTCGTGTCTTCACGCGACCTGAACCGATCCCTTCGGTCTTTGGCATGTCCAGGTTAGAGCCACTGATGTTGGCGTTGGACTTTATCCATCTAGGCTCTCCCACGTCACTGCAAACTTTCTGCAGGATCGATCTGTTCTCGTCTGCCTACGGCACAGCACGGCTCGGATCGCCGCCGCTGGTGCCGGACCTTGTGCATTTAGAACTTTCCATGCTTTTGCACAGCTCTGCGCACACGGGCCCTCCCTTGCTACTCTATGGCTTGGCCTGTCTTGAACTGCTGTCATTGGCCCTGGATTTCATAAACTCGGGTTCCCCACCATTCCTCCGGACACTTTCTCGGCTGGGTGTCTTGCCGCCCGTCTACGGCATGGTCTGGTTGGGCTCGACGACGCCCCTGCCCGACCTTGCAACGACTGGGCCAGCCTTGCCAGCCAGACATATGGTTTGCTCTGGCAGTCTTCCTTCAGCCTTCGGCATGCTCCGCTTTGGGCCACCATCCTCGGCTCCAGACAGTGAGACCACGGGATCGCCACCACCCACGCGAAGCTTCGCAAGACCGGAGCCGCCACTGCCAGCACAGGGCACGGGCTGCTCCGATGTGCCACTGCTCGTCCTTGATTCCTCGGACTCCGGATTTTTGCTGTTCATGAGATCTCTCGGTACCTTGGAAGCCCCAGCCCCAGCCTCTGGCTTAGGTTGCTTTGGCTCGTCACTGTCTGCCTCCGACCACTTGCAGATCGGGTCGGTCTCGCTGCTGAGAAGTCGTGCATGCTTGGGGTTCAGTGCATCGACCTCTGGCCAAGGCTGTTTTGGCTTACCGCCCTTGATTTTGGACTTCCTGCAACCAGCACCGCTGCAGTCACTTCGAAGCCTTGCGCGGGGAGGACTGTCGTTTCCTGCCTTTGGAAGCATTCGCCTCGGCTTGCCATCTTTGCTGCTTGATGGGCAGCAGACAGGCCCCTCCGCTCTCTTGAGAGGCTTTGCGCGACTTGGGAGTTCGATCCCATCATCTGGCGCAGCCCGATCCGGACCATCTCTTTCCATTTTGGATTACTCAACCCCTGATCCATTCCCGTCCCTTCGTTGTAATGCCTGCCCAGACTTCTTAGTGCCGCTGTCTGGGGAACTGAGAATGGAACTGAGTATGCCTGCGCTAGATTGCATGCATGTAGGCATGCTGCTGGCGGCGAAGGCTCTTGCCAGGCTTGATTTCGTTCTGTTTGCGTTCGGTTTGTCTCGGTTTGACTCTTCAGTTCCTGTGCCCGACTTCAGTCACTTCGGAAGCACGATGCCGGTGAGGAGTGTTGGCCGAATTGGCTTCGTTTCATCGGTGTTCGGACTGGCGTGCTACGGTTCCTCGGCTTTGGCATCCGACCGTGCGCACATGGAGCTTCCTCTGTCAGTTCGCAGCATGGGACGACCAGGGCCAAGTTTGATGGCCTTCGGAATCGGTTGTCTCGACTTGTTTGTTTTTGTCTTGGATGTCGCTGAGATGGAGTTTGCGCTGCTTTTGCATAGCTTCGGGTGTCCAGATTTCTTGCTTTCCGTATTTGGCTTAGGCTGCTGCGACTCTTCGTCCTCAGCCTCTGACTTTTCGCTCTTCGATTCGATACTGTCTGTGCGAGGTTTTGCACACATGGACCTGTCCTCGTCACTTTACGGAATGGTGTGTCTGGGAGCTAGCCTGCTGGCCTTGGATTCTATCAGCGGTGGCTTGGCACCGTTTTTGCACAGCTTCGCTCTTCTTGGCTCGTCCTCTCTTGCTTCCGGCATGACTCGATCTGGATTCCCTATATCACTTTTTGACTACTTGTCGCCTGGTCCGCTGCTGCTCCCACAGGGATTTGGGCAACCGGGCGCCTTCATGTTGGCGTGGAGCTGTGCAAGGTCCGGATCACTGGCACTGTTGTCCGACTACTTGCGATCGGGCCCGCCCATGTCCCCCCGAAACCATATCCGATGTGGCAGCGTGATGTTGACGTCTGGCATGGCAAGATCGGAGGCGCTAATGTTCGCATCGGATTGTGAGCATGCAGACTCCTCCATGCCTTTCCGCAGTCACTCACACCCTGGTTTCGCCTTGCTGGCCTCAGGTCGTCTCAGCTTCGGGTTGTGCCTCTCTGTTTTGGATATGGCCACCCCTGGTTCCTCGCCACCGCTGCGATCTTTGGCGTGCCTAGAGCCAGCGCTGCTACTACTGGACCCTGTAGCTCCCGGACCCTTGCCTTCGCTGCGAAATCTCGCAAGGCCAGGCTCTGCGATGTCCGTGGTATCGGTGGTGCGCTTTGGCCCGCCAACCTTCGTTCCGGACTATGTGCTCATTGGCTTGAGCGTGTCCCTGCGCGACCTCGCCCGCTTAGAAGCTTCCCTTCTCATCTTTAGTGCTGTGAAGGCCGAGCCGCTGTTGTTCCCATTGGACTTCAGCCATTTCGGACCGACGTCTCCGGCTAGGAGCCCTGGATGCACGGGTGCTGCCTTGTCAGCTTCCGGAATGGCCTGCTTTGGATCTTCCCTGCCGGCCTCTGACCTGGTCCATGGAGGCCTATCACTGCCATTGCGAAGCCTCGTAAGACTTGACCCGGCCTCTTCCACTTTTGGGGTGACGCACCTGGGGGTTCTTATGTTGGCCTCTGACCACACCGAGCCGGGGTTGCTGCTATTCCTTCGATCGCTTGCTTACCTGGGCTTCCTTCCACCCCTTTTTGGGCAAGCTTGTTCTGGATCCCTCATGTTCGCGTCGGATCTCGCCCACCATGGCCCAGCGCCTTCCTCGCAAAGCCTCGTGAGGTCAGGCGCAACAACATCCACCTCCGGCGCCACGTGCTTCGAGACACCCGTGCTGGTTATGGACTCCACCTCACCGGGGCTGACATCTTTGGTGCAAAGCGCCGCACTCATGGAGAGCTCGCCTCCTGCATTTGGCATTGCGTGCTCCGGGCTCTTAGCATCTTCGCCTGATTACCTTAATCCCGAGCCGACAACGTCAGCACACAGTGTGGCTTGGTTTGGTTTCACCGCGCCGGTAATGAGCAGGGTAAGCTTGGGCTCCCCTCTCTTGGTGCTTGACTTCGCGTATTTTGGCAGCCTCATGTTGGTGAGGTCTTGCTGCAGATTTGGTCCGGTTTCTTCAGCCTCAAGCTGTGGTCGCTTTGACTTCTCTCCGCCTGTGCTTGACCTTCTGCACCCCGGCGCCTTCCTGCCACTGCGATCTGCGGGACATCCAGGATCCACGTTGCTGGCCATGTCTGCGGCGCGCTTCGGCTTGACGTCAAGCTTACTGGATGCTTTCAGCGCAGAGCCCTCGCCAACTACCCGGTCCTTTGGCCATCCTGACTTTGCCTCGACGGTTATGGGCGTGGCACGCGCTGGGCTCTTGCCTTTAGCTCTGGATTTCGTGCAGCTCGAGTTGCCTTTGCTTTTGCAGTCTCTTGGCCGGCCAGGGCCTGCTCTGCCTGTCTTGGATCTTTTGCATTTGGGCCCCTTGTCGTTCTTGAAGGACCGCGCTTGAATGGGCTTTCTGGCAGCAGCACCTGGCATGACCCGCGTGGCCTCGTTGATGCCGCCTTCGGACCTCGCCATCACCGGCCTGCCTCTGCTTGCACGAAGCACGGCACAACCCGGTTTGGCCTCGTCCGTCTTGGACTTCTTGGTCCCGGGCTCTTCTTCGCTGGTCCGAAGCTTTGCCTGTTCAGAGCTGCCCTTCTCTGCCTTCAGCGGCACGCGCTGCGGATCCTCCGCTTCGGCCTCGGACTCCACGTCTCTGGGCTCCTCCCCGCTTCAGCGGAGTCGCGTGCGTCCGGGGCTTGCGATGCTCCTCTTCGGCTGCGCTTGTGCTGGCCTTTCAGCGTCCGTGCTTGATCCCTTGCATTCGGACCCGTCAGTGGTGCTGCGGTCCTTTGCCCAACCAGGTCTGGGCTTCTCAGTGTTCAGCGGGGTTAGCCTGGATGCTTCGCTCTTTGCTTTGGATTCCGTGGACCCTGATCCGCCTCTGCCACTGCACAGCCCTGCATGTGCCGGATTGCCTGCCTCCGTCCTAGATTTTTTGCAGATGGGACCTTTCATGTTCATTCGAAGTCTCAGCTGCCTGGGCCTCGCGGTGCCCGTGTTGGACTCCCTGCATCTCGGGCCACCGCCTTTTGCCCGTCGTCTCGCGAGATCTGGTTCGACAGTTTTGCCCCAAAGCCTCGCACGAACAGAGTCGGCCTTTCCTGTCTTTGCCCCGATCCGAATGGGCCTTTCACCCTTTGTTCCTGACCACACTCACCTGGGTCCGGTCCCGTCGACCCGCAGCCCCAGCCACCTCGGCCCTCCCACCTCCGTGCCGGATTCCCTGCGTCTGGGCAGTGCCATGCTGCTGCGATCCTTCGGCTGCGTGGGCCTCTTCTCGTCTCTATCTGGCCTCGGTTGCGTGGGGTTGCCGTTGCTCGTTTTGGATCTCGTCGACGTAGGACCGGCCCTGCTGGTGAAGAGTGCAGCCAGATCGGATGCCCCGTTTTCGACCTTCAGCAGGACCAGCATGGAGTTGCGCCCGTCTGTTCTGGACCCCACCAGTTTGGGCGTGCTAATGCCACCGCAAAGCATGGGCTGATCAGGGTCAGGCTCCTCCGTGTGGAGTGCTGCACGCTTGGGGCTGGTGATTTCTACTTGTGACTACCTCCACCTGGGCTCTTTTCCGTCTCTCCGGAGCCTGGCACGCTTCGGTTTCATCGTGCCGATTTCGGATTTGCTGCAGCTTGGCCCATCAACGTTGCTGCGGTCCTATGCTCGCCTCGATTTGGCCTCGTCGGCCTCGAGCAAGACGCGGCCGGGCTCGCTATTATCGGTGCCTGACTGCATTCAGACAGGCCCTTTGATGTCCATCCGTAGCTTTGCATGCTTGGGAGTCTCTCCATCTGTCCTCGAGTCTGTTAGGTCCGATCCTTCTCTGTCCTCGAGAGGCTACGCTCGCTGTGGCTCGACTGTTCCAGCTTCCGACGCGGCACGCTTCGAGCTACTCCTGCTCATCCTCGACTCCGCACAGCTGGATGTATTACCGTCGCTCCGAAGTACAGGATGCTTGGGCTTTGCGGTGCTGACTATGGGGATGAGCTGCTTGGGATTAGTGTTGCTTGCGTCAGATTTCAGCACTCTAGGAGTGTCGATGCTTGCACAAAGCTTTGTGCAGCTGGGCCCCGCTACGTTAGTCCTTGATTTTGTTCGACCGGAGTCGAGCTCATCAGCACGTGGGCATACTCGCCTCGGTTTTATTATGTCGCCGTTCAGCAGATCCAACCCGGAACTGATCTTGTCCGTCTCGGATGTCTCCGAATTTGACTCCACCTTTCCGGCACGCAGCGCGGCACGTGCTGGCTTGGCCTTGTCTTTGTCCGGTTGTGCAAGGTTCGGGCCCCTTGCTTCAGCTCCAGACCATGTGACTACCGGACCACCGGTCTTGGTTCGAAGCTTTGCAAGATCGGGCCTCGTGATGCTTCCGCTTGACCTTTTCCGCCTCGGATTGCTCACGCCGATGAGGGGCCATACATGACCAGAAGCGGCACCTTCCGTCTCTGCTGCAACTCGACTCGAAGCGCTGCTTCTCGCTTCAGACCACATTGAGTTGGACTCTCCTCTGTTGGCAAGATCCTGCGCTTGGCTTGGCCTCTTCCCTCCTACACCGGATTCTGCATATCTTGGCTTGATGCTGCCTCTGAAGGGCACGTCGTACCTGGACTCTGCTCTTCTGGCATTCAGCAGGAGTCGATTGGGACTTTCGCCACTGGTTTTGGACCCCCTTCGTTCAGAGTCGATCACGTCTCTGCAAAGCCTCGGTCGCTTTGGTTTGGCAGTTCCAGTCTTCAAGGCCGCATCGCCTGGGCCGACGCTCTCTGTCTCCGATTGCACGGAGCTTGAGTCGGCAGTCTCTTTGAAGTCTTCTGCATACCTGGGCTCTGCTTTCCCACTTTTTGGAGCAATGACTTTGGGCCCGGCGCCTTTGATTCCAGATGTTACAGAACTAGGCAGCACACCACCTCCACGCTCCTGTGCACGTCCGGGCCTCGCGCTGTCCCTCTTCAGCTGCACTCGTTCTGAGTTCTTGGCCTCAGTCTCTGACTTTCTGCATCTTGGATCTCTGCTTTCGCCTCATTCCCTTGGCCGCACGGGGCTTTCGGTCCCGATGTTTGGCACCGCCTGCTCGGAGTCGGCTGCGCTGACTCCTGACACATCCCTTCTAGAGTCTGCCACGTTGCTCCGATCTGCTGCTCACCTGGGCTTCCTGCTTCTTGCTTCTGACAGAGTGAAGTTGGGCTCCCTTCTGCCAACGCTGGACTTTGCAGAACTCGGCTCTGCTGCATTTCTTCGAGGTCACGGGCGTATGGGCTCGGGACCTTTGGCCTTCGCCTTCGCGCGTTCGGGCTCGATGCTTCCGGTGCCAGATGTGGCGGAGCCGGGCTTGGTTTCGTCGGTTCGAGGCTTCCAGAGGCTGGGGTTTTCGATGCCGACTTGCAGCTGCGGTCGTTTGGAGTCCTCCGCTTCGACCTTGGACTTCGCTCATCTCGGCTCCACCCTCTCCGTTCGCGCCATGGGGCGTCTGGGCTTCGCTTTCTCGGTGTCTGGCGTGGCTGCGTCTGGCTTCTTCATATCAGCACCCGACCTCCTGGAGCCGGGGCCACCTCCTTTTGTTCGAAGCCTCGGGCGAACGGAGCTGGCGGTATCCACATCTGGCTTCTGCAGAGCGGGTTCCTTCATATCAGTGTTTGACAGTGCTCACTCTGGATCGATCCCGCCATCGCAAAGCTACGCTACCTCAGGGTTTCTGATGCCCGTATTCGGCCTCTCCAGACCGGGCTTCTTCACGGTCGTCTCTGACACGAGCTTCTTTGGGTCGACTCCAGCGCTGCGCAGCACTGCCCAGCCTGGCAGTACGATGCCGGCATCCAGCTTCGCAAGCTTTGGATCTCTCCTTCTTGTGTTGGACTGTGCAGAGATGGGCTCTGGGTTGTTGGCAAGGAGCATGGCGCAGCCTGGGTCCGCATTTCTGGCCTTCCGCTCTGTGACCTTTGGCTTTCTCACGTCGATCCTGGACTCCACGCACTCTGGCTCCACCTTCCCAGTCCGAAGCCTTGGGCTTCTGGGCTTCGGTCTGCTTTTGTGTAGCAACGCCTGATCTGAAGTTCCGCCTTCCGCTTTGGATTCCACGAATCCTGACCCATCCTCGCTGGTGCGGAGTGTGGCACGTCCTGACACCGCGGCTTCGACCTGCGCAAATGTTCGACTGGGATTCGCAATGCCAATCCTCGACTTCATGCAGTCGGAGCCGCCGTTGCCTTCGCGTAGCCATGCTTGATTTGGCCTGGCCGCCTCTGTGTCTGGCGAGACACGTTCTAGCAGCTCCCTGTCAGTAATGGACCTTGGGCATCCAGACTCTGCTTCGCCGCCGAGGTCTCGTGCCTGTTTTGGTTCATCCTTCTCTGCATCCAGCGCGAGTCGATCAGAGGCCTCCATGCTGGCCTTCGATTCTTTGCACCCCGGTTCTTTCCTGTCGCTTCGTTCCTCCGGCAGACCTGACCCAAATCTTCCTGTCTTTGGGACGGCATGATCTGGTTTGCCTTTGCTTGCTCTCGACCGCGCTGTCTCCGGCTTGACATTGTTGTTAAGAAGCCTCGCAGAGTCAGGCCCGGCAGTAGCAATGTCTGGAATCGTTTGAATGGACTTTTCGCCGTCGGTGCCGGACGTCGCTTCACTGGGCCTTTTTCTGCCTGCGAGAAGCGTCGCTAAGCTGGAGGTCTCCGTCTTCTTGTTTGGGCAGGCGTGTCTTGAGTCTATGGCTTCGACATCTGATTCTGCTCAGGTCGACTTCTCTCCCTTGGTGCGCTCCTCCGGATTGCTTGAATCCTCATTGTCGGCCTCTTCTGCAGCGAGACTAGAGCTGTTCTTGCCGGTGCCAGATCATGTAAACCTGGGCCTAGCACTTTTCCTGCACAGCATGGCCCGGCTCGGCCTTTTGCTCTTGGCGTCGGATTGCGCAAAGCCGGGGTCTCCGCTACTTCCGAGAAGCATGGCCCGGCCGGGCGTGGCCTTTGCAGCCTTCTCCATGTCGCGCTTGGAGCCGATCTTGACCGCCTCTGACATGACTGCTCCAGGGCCTACACTCCTGGTGAGGGCCGCTGCAAGGCTTGGGCCAACGTTCTCAGTTTCCGGCTGGGCACGGACGGGCTCCAACTCGGCCGTTCAGGCCTTTGCGAAGCTCGGCAGCACCTTGCCGGTTATCGGTCGGACACACTTTGGCATGTCGCCCTCGGTGTTGGACTTCGCACATCTCGGGTCGGCACCGCTTCCGCGGTCCTTTGCGCGATGTGACCTCGCGCTGTCCGCTTTGGACTTGCTTGCAACCGGTTCGCCTCTGCTGGCCAGGACGTCTACCCAGCTGGGTCCATTGCTGTCGGCCTCCAGTCGGGTTGCTCCGGGATCCCCGACCTCGGCTTCGGACCTTCTGCACACGGACCTCACGGTGCCGTCAAGGAGCTGCGGTTGTCCAGGCTCTGCAGCGCTGACGTGGGGTCGTGCAAGATCCGGTCTGCCTGTTTCGGCCTTTGACTTTTTGCAACTGGGCTTCTCCGCTTCTTTGCAGTCCATGGGCAGGATGGGACCCTTCCTGTCTGTTTTGTCCAGGGTTCACTCTGGCTTCCTCCTGCTCGTTACGGATTCCGTTGTTCCGGGTAGCTCGCCTTCGCTGCAGTCCCTCTCCTGGCCAGGCTTCATGGCTGCTGCGTCGGACTTTGCCAGGTCTGACCTCACCTTGCTGATCCGGAGCATGTGCTGCCTGGGCTTCACGCTTCCGGCGTTCGGGAAGACCTGGTCCGGCCCGTTCATGTCCATTTTGGACTCCTTGCATCTCGAACTGGCTGTATCTTCCCAAGGACATACTCGCTTCGGGCTTGTTCCGTCGGTCTCCAGAGCCACACGACTGGGTTTCTTGTCGGTGACACCGGACTGTGCAACTCCAGAAGCTGTCCTGGCATCACGATCCTTCGCTCGACTTGGTCTTGTCCTGCTCCTGATAACTATGGCCAGGTTTGGCTCTTCCCTCCCGGTGTCTGACTTCCTCCATTTAGAGTTTCTGCTGCCTACGAGAAGCTTCGCACACACCGGTCTTGCCGTCTCGGCTGTCAGCCGTGTCCGACTTGGCCCATCACCGCCGGTCCCGGACCTTCTGACCTCGGGCAGCTCTTTGCTTCTGCGAACTTTCTCGCGCTCGGAGCTGCCGACCTTGGTGCCCGATTTCGTCGGGCCGGGCTTTCCGATGCCCGTAAGGGCAGTTGCTTGCCTGGAGCCATCCTTGCCCGCTATCTCAACGACTCGCCTTGGTCCGAGCCTGCCCTTGCTGGACCACGCCTTGTTGGGCTCCCCGCTGCTTCTTCACAGCCTTGCATGATCGGAGCCTTGTGTGTCGGCCTCGGACTCCGCGCGATCGGGCTCCTCACCCTCCTCACGAAGCTCTGGCTGCCTGGGACCCGTCTTGCCCTCATGCAGCATGTCCTGGCCCGAGGCAACAGCGCTGACTTCAGATTTCGTGGAGTTGGACTCGGCCTTGCCGATCCGCAGCTTCGTTAAGCCGGGCTTCAGCCTGTCAACTCTGGACTTTACCGAGCCGGGCTCGCCAGCATCGCTTCAATCGCTCATGCAAACGGGGTCAACGCCCTCAGTCCTTGGAATTGGAAGGCTGGACTCATTTTTGTCCGCACCTGATCTTGTGAATCTGGACTTGCCCCTCTTACTACGAAGCCGCGCTCACCTGGGTTTTGCTCTGTTGGTGCCTGACCCTCTTGATCTGGGGCCGTCTTCGCCTTCGAGGTCGCATGCTCACTTCGGCACCTTGGCAGCAGCTTAGTCCAGTCATTCACGCCTTTCAGCTTTGCCTACTGTGCCTGCTAAACTCCGGCTATTTCAGAATGCAATGGTCGGTCGATGCCTGCCTGCCTTCTTGCCCGCCTGCCTGCCTGCCTGCCTGCCTGCCTACCTACCTGCCTACATACAGGTGGGCAGACAAACAGACAGACAGACCAACATGCACACGTGCTTGACTTGCTTGCTTGCTTTGCTCGCTGGCTGGACTGCTCGTGTGCTCGTTTGCTTGCTCGCTCGCTTGCTTGTGTGCTTGCTGACATGCGTGCATTCATGCATCGATCATGAACTACATAATGTAGACATGCAGCAGATCATGATGATGCCCAGTGCCGTTGGTTTCTGAATTTAGCATAGCAGTGTGTTCCCGAGCCTTGTAAGGTCCAATGACGTCCGCTGCTGGCAAGGTGCAAGTTGGACTTTTCCTGCTTGCTTTGGATTTCTTGCATCTCGACTTCTCGCCGTCCTTGCACAGCCTCGTGCAGCCTGGATTTCCCTTGTCTTATCTGGACTTTTCAGAGTCGGGATCGCTTGTGTCACCTCGTAGTCATACAAGACTGGGCCTTCTGATGCTACCATCGAGTGCCTCGCGACTCGAAGTCCCATCGTTGCTACCGGATCCTGCAGCACTTGACGCACCTGTGTCCGTTCACAGTTTTTCCTGTCCGGAGGCCGCCGCCTTTGTGCCTAGCCTTAGCCACTCAGGATTGTCGCCTCCTCTCCAGACCCTTGCTCATTCAGATCTCGTGTTGCTGGTGCCGAGTGTATCTCGGTCAGAAGCGTCCCCTCTCGTGCTGGATTTCGCGGTTCTTGGCTTCCCGCCTCCACCAAGAGGGCCTGCTCGCCCGGGACCGGTGATGCTGATGCTGGATCTTGCAGAGACAGAGCCACTTTTGCTTTTGCGAAGTCACTCCCGCCCCGACCTCACGATGCCCGCCATTGGCTTGGCCAGGCCTGGATCGACGCCCTCTCCACTGGACTCTGTGAACATGGGACCCTCCATGTTGGTTCGACAGATGGTGCGGCTCGGGTCGTTTGCATCAGCATGCAGGATGGCTTGGATGGGCTTCAGCTCTTCAGTGCTTGACTTTGGCAACCCAGGCACCTCATTGCTGGTTCAAAGCTCAGCGCACTCAGACTTTGCATCCTCTGCCGTCGGAGTTCTGAAGATCGACTTTGCCATGCCAGCATCGGACAATGTGCTGACTGAGTCGTTCCCTCCGGTCCGAGAGTTGGTTCGATCAGATTCTTCCACCTTGGTTCTGGGACTGGCTCGCCTGGGCGCATCGTTACTGGCACCAGACCCTACAACCCCTGGTGTGTTTTTGTCAGCACGCCAGCTTGCTCGATCGGAGTCGCCTGCGGCTTCGTCGGGCGTCAGTCGGCCGGACTTCTCGTTGTTCGTCTCGGACCCTGTGCAGATGGATCTGTCCTTGCTTCCACATAGCCTTTCGTAAATGGAGCTCGCGCTGCTGGTGCTGGACTTCCTTCATCTGGGCATGCCCTTGCTCTTCCGCAGCATGGCTCAGTACGGATCCTTTATGTTGGCCTCGTCAAGGGTCCGGGTTGACTTCTCGCTGTTGGTTCTGGACCGGTTCATCCCCGGATCAACATCCTCTCTCCGCGGCTTTTCTCATCCCGAACTCCTGATGCTAGTGCCTGACTTTGCCCGGTCAGGCTCCCTTTCGCCGGTGCGCAGGCATGCTTGGGTGGGAGTGGCACTACCCGCTTCTGGCTTGGGCCAGTTTGGTGTTTCGCCTTCAGCCCTGGACTTTCTACACTCAGATCTGATGTTGTTTGCGAGATCAATGGCTCATCCCGGGCCGTCCTTCCCTGCGGTGAACAGGGCTCGTTTTGACAGCTCTCTGCCGGCCTCAGACTTTGTAGAATCCGGAGCTTTTGCACTGATTCGGAGTTTGGCTCACTCGGGCCTAACCTTGCCTCTCTTGGGAAGAGTGCACCTTGGTTTCACAACGCTGATCGTGGACTACGCATTTTCGGGCTCGGCGCCTCCGGCCCGCTCCTTTGCACAACCAGGTCTTCCCTTCTTGGCATTGAGCACCGCAAGGCCTGAATTCTTGCCTCTTGTGCCGGACTTTGTGGTATCGGACGCCTCCCTCTTCTTGAGAAGCTCTTCTTGTTTGGGCTTGAACCCCTTGGCCTCGGACTTCGCCCGTCCCGGCCTTTCCTCGTCCTTGCGGTCCCGTGCTCGTTTGGGGCTCACGCCGCCGTCGTCCGGCCTTGGCAGGTCCGGCTCCTCGACGTCTGCTTCGGACTCTTTGAGGTTGGGTTCGCCGCTGTTGCCACAATCCCCCGCGCACGCGGCGTTCTCGCTCTTGGCCTCTGGAAAAAGCCAATCCGGCCCTCCAACGTCCGTGCCGGATCATCTGGGACTAGAATCCCCGATGCTCCCTCAAAACCCTGCTTGCTGTGGGTCATTCCCATCGGCGATGAGCTGCTCGCGGTCCGAAGCTTCAGCTTCCATCTTGGATTGTTTACACCCCGGCTCATCAATGTTTCTCCAAAGTTTCTGTTGTTCGGGTTTCGCCTTGGCAGTGCTTGACTTAGCTGTCTTTGGCTCTTCGCTGTCCGTGCGCTCCTTCGCTTGCCTCGGCACAATGCCGTTGACCTCGGACTTTGCGCAGCTCGAGCTGTCGGCGTCAACGCGAGCCGCGACCCGGATGGAGCTTTCGATGTTTGCGTTTGGGAGATCCTGCTCGGAGCTCACGCTGCTGGCCTTGGACTTTGTGTGCTCTGGTCTGAACTTGTTTCTGCAAAGCCCAGCCTGTCTCGAATCCTCGGTGCCGGCGTGCAATTATGCAAGACCGGGGCCAAGCATGTCCTTGAGAAGTATGGTCCAACCTGGATTGTTGCCCCTCGCTTCTGACTGTGTTCGTTGTGGATCGCCTCTGCCAGCCTTAGACTTCCTGCATTCAGCTCCGCTTCTGTTTGCCAGGTCAACTGCGTGCAGCGGATCCTTTTTGTCTGTGTCTGACGCGGTTCGGTTTGGATTCCCACTCTTTGCTGCGGACCTTGTGCAGTTTGGCCCAGCTCTGCTTTTGCGGTCACTCGCTTGCCTTGGAAGTCCCGCATCTGTCTCGGACTTCATCGAGCCTGAGCTGCTGATGTTCTTGCAAAGCTTCGCCCGTTTGGGTCTGTTTATGCCCTCTTTCAGCCGTGTGATGCCCGGCCCTTTCTTGTCAACTCTCGATCCCGCTCAGTCCGACCCTGTGCCTTCCCCAAGGAGCTTTGCAAGACCCGAGTTGTCGGCTTCCGTCTATGGCTTAACTCTTCTTGACCCCTTGCCGCCTGTGCTCGACCTCGTGCACACGGGCCTCCCAGCCTTACTGCGGACCTTTTCGCAATTGGGTTCGCTGCCATTTGTCTACGGACTGACGCTGCTCGACTTCTCCCCATCGGTCCTGGACCCTCTTCACTTGGACTTCACGCCGCTTTTGCAGTCCCACAGTTGCTTGGGATCGAGCTTCTTGGCCTTCAGCCGATCGACTTCCGGCTCCCTTCTGCTGACTTCTGACCTCGTGGAGTCGGGACTGATGCCTCCGCTGCGAAGCTTCATGCGCTTGGACTTGACGTTGCCGATTTATGGCATTGCTGAGCCAGGACTTTTCTTGTCTGCCTTGGATTTCGTCCACACGGGTTCCTCGTGCTCACTACGCTCCCTCGCTCGACCCGAGCCTGCGTTGTCGGCCTATGGCATGACGACCTCGGGTAGTCTGCTGCCGGCGCTTGATTCTTTGCGCTTGGGCTCCTTCATGCTGCCCCGACACCTCGCCTGTTCGGGATCTTCCTTTTCCGCCTACAGTCGGACACGGTTTGGGCTCACGCCGTCAGCCTTAGATCTTCTGCACCTGGGCCTGGTTATGTCCTTGAGATCCCTTTCTCGATCAGATGCGGCCGTGTTGGCCTTGGACTTCCTGTACTTGGGCCCCACGGTGTCGGCGCAATCCTTCAGCCGACTGGGCTTGGTTGCGTCAGTCTTGGACCTCTTGCACCCAGACCTGACGCCACCCTTGAGATCTCGTTCATGCTTTGGCTCCATTTTGTCAGTGACAGGTCTGGTGCAGCTGGGCTTCTTGCTTTCGGCGTTAGACTGGGCGCACTTGGGCTCCTTACTGTTGCTGCAAAGCTTTGCTTAAGTGGAGCTGGCTCCGTTGGTCCTGGACTTCTTGCGCCTGGGCTTCAATCTGCTGCCTCGGGGCTTCTCGCACTTCGGCTCGAGTCTTCCTGTGTCCGGTCTGAGCTGTTCCGAGCTCTTGGCACCGGTGCTGGACTTGGCGAACATGGGCTCCTTGCTCCCCCTGAGGTCCACGCTTCGTCTGGGCTCAATGCTGCTTTCGTGCGGAAAGGCTTGCCCCGAGTTTCCCTTCTCTGCCCCTGACTTCGTGCAGCCAGGACTGCCGCTCTCGATGAGAAGCTACTCGTGTCTTGAGCCTTGCGCGCCTGCCTCGAGCTTTGCGACCATGGATGTGTCACTCTCGCCTCGCAGCTTTTCTCAGTCGGGTGCTTCCCTGCCAGCCTTGGACTACTTGCGCTTGGGCAGCTTCCTGTTCCTTCAAAGCCTTGTGCATGCGGGGCTTTCAATGTTGTCGTTGGGGGAAGTTTGCTCGGGCTTCATGCTTCCGGTGTCAGACTCTGTCCAGCTAGACACCTTGCCTCTCCTACGTAGCCTTTCGAGGACGGGAGTGCCTTCGTCGGTTTCGGACCATGCGAGACCTGGCGTGCCCCCGCCATCGCAAAGTTACGCAAGGCTCGAAGTCTCAGCGCCTGCTCTGGGGTTGAGTCGTCTAGGCTTCGTGTCCCCCCTGCCTGTCACTGATGCTGTCGAGTTTGGCCTGATGCTTTTCGTGCGAAGCCTTGTGCATCTTGGGCCCATCCCGCCGGTGCCCAGCCACGTGCGTTCGGGAAGCTTGCTGCCCACTCGAAGCACGGCCTGTGCCGACTCTGCAATCCTTGTGCTGGACTCCTTGCAACTCGGAGCTCTCCCGTTGCTGCAAAGTATGGCCTGCTGTGATTCTGTTTTGCCAGTGCTGGACTTTCTCCACCTGGGACCAGCTCCTTTGCCCCAAAGTTCTGTCCACTTGGACCCTTCCATGGCTGTTCTTTCCAGCACGAGGATGGGCTCGACATCGTCTGCTTCAGACTCCGTTCACTCAGGGAGCCCACTTTTCGTGCGAAGCCTGGCATGGCCTGGCCTCTCACTGCCGGTCTCGGATGTTGCTCAGCCTGGACCTTTGCTACTGCTTCGTTCGCATGCAAGACTTGGGTCCATGCTGCTCGCTCCTGGATTGACCCGACTGGGCTTCGTATTCTCTCTGCCTGTGATAGAGCCTGCACATTCCGAACCCATGCCGCCTGTCAAGAGCTCTTCGCGACTCGAAGTCGCACTTCTCACAATGGATTTCGCACGCACGGGCCTGCTGACGTTGCCTCGCGCTCATTCCCGCCTCGAGTTCTTCGTTTCGGCCATGAGCAATTGCAGGCTCGGTTCCATCCTGCCTATCTCGGACCTTGTCGAATCAGGCTTCGCGCTTCTGCTCCGAAGCCTTGCTTGGTTGGGCTCCGTGGTGTTTGCGTCGGACTTCGCTCGAATCGGCCTCTCGCTTTCGCTGCGCTCCTTGGCCAAGTTCGAAAGCTTGGCGTTCGTCTCTGGAGTTAGTCGACCTGAGGCGTCTTTGTCGGTTTTGGATCGTGTCGGTTTTGACCTGGCCTTCTCTTTGAGAAGTCTTGCATGTCCCGACCTGACCTTTTCGACAGCAGACTACATTCGATCGGGCTTTTTTCCGTTGCTGCGATCTATGTCCCGGCCGGGCCTTTTGTCTCCAGTATTTGGAGAAGTGCGACTGGAGAGCTCACTACTTGCCTCAGATTTCTTGCAGCTGGAGGCGGCGTTGCCTGTCCGTTCATCCGTGCGCCCTGACCTGAACCTCCCGGTGCTGGATTCTTTGAAGCCGGAGCTCTTCCTGCTTCTGCGTAGCTCTGCCAGGATGGATGCTTTGGTGTTTCCTCTCGGAGAGTGCCGTCCCGAGCTGCTGCTGCCTGTGCCAGACTTTCTGAACTTGGGTCCGTCTCTGTCTGTGCAATCAGCCGTCCGGCTTGAATTCAACCTGCCAGCCCTGGACTTTCTGCATCTCGAGCCACCTCCGCTTCTGCAAGGCCTCAGTTGCCCCGGTGCTCCTTTGCCAGCACTGAAACTTGCTACGTTCGGATTGTCGGCGCTGATCCCTGACCTTACAGAGTTGGGCTTCGCGCCGTCACTGCGCAGCTTTGCACACCTGGGGTCTCCGCTTCTGGCACTTAGCCTCGGGCGTTCTGGCTTGTCTCCGCTCACACGAAGCCCCGTCCACATGGGCTCCGTGCTTCCGGTGCTTGACTTTTTGCGTCCCGGCTTGCCGATCTTGTCACGGTCCTCTGGTCGAGTGGGCTTGCTGACACTCGCCTTCAGTCGCGCAACCTGTGGCCCGTTGCTGCTGGCTCCGGATTCTTTGGACCCAGGACCCTTGCCGCCGCTCAGAAGCTCTTCGCGACCTGAGTTCCTTCTGCCAGCTCCGGACTTCGCGAAACTGGGTCCGCTACCGCTGCCAAGGAGCTTCGGCCACCTGGACTTCACGGTGTTTGTGCCAGGCTTGACCCGGTCAGGCTTTGTATCCTCGCCGTCGGCAACTGAGTGTGTGCAACTCGATCTATCAATTTTCGCTCGAAGTCTCGGTCGCGTTGAAGTTGCGACGTCGACTTCGGATTCCTTGCACCTCGGCTCGTTCTCGTCTCCGCGATCCGTTTGCCGCATTGAGCCGACATCTTCCGCCTTCGGAGAGCTGCGTCTCGGCCTGGCCCTCTTGGCGCCGGATTTCACGACCCTGGAGCTGCCTCCGTTGCCGCAAAGCATGGCTCGCTTTGGCTTCACCATGCCAGTGCTCGATTCCCTGCATTTGGGGTCGCTGCCATCTCTGAGGTCCCGGCTGCAAGCGGGAGTCATTCTGCCGGCAACGAGCAGCGTGCGCTTCGAGCCAACGCTCTCCGTCCCTGATCCTGTGCGCTCAGAACCCATGGTGTCGCCCCGGAGCCTTACTCGGCCGGGCTTGATGTTGCTCGTCTCGGACTCCCTGAAACCTGGGTCGCCCTCGTCCATGCAAAGTCACAGTCGCTTGGGTTTCGCATCGTCCGTCTTCGGCAGGATGCAGCTCGGGTCAACTCTGCTGGTGTCGGACGTCTGTGGCCCTGGTCTGGTGTTGCCTCTCCGAAGCGTGGCGTGACTCGGCTTCCCTCCTTTGGCACCGGACTTTCTTGAGCCTGGCTCTTCTGTTCCGTTGCGATGCCTCAGCCGACCAGGTGCATCCTTCACGGTCACCAGTGCAATTCGCTCAGGGTTGTCCCTGTTCGTCCTGGATCCCTCTCACTCAGGGCCGAGCGTGCTGTTGCGATCACTTGCTTGATCGGATGCCTCTGTGCTCACACTTGACCACTTGCAGTTGGGTTCGACGTCGTTGGTGAGGTCCTCCATGCATTGTGGTCCAACGGCATCGGTGCCAGATCTTTTGCGTCTGGGATTCTTGATGCCGTTGCGTTCCCCCAGCTGTCTGGAGAGCTTTGTGTCGACCTATCAGCTGGTTCGCTCTGACCCTGCTTTGTTGACTCCAGACCACTTGAGATCAGACTCCTCGTTGCCTATGCAAAGTCCTGCCAGACCGGGCCCTGCCTGCTTGATCTGTGGGATCACCCAGCTGGAAGCCAGCCTCTTGGTCCTGGACTCCGCGGACTTGGGCCCTGCGCCCTCGCTGCAAAGCCCTGCATGTCCTGGCTTGGCCTTGTTGATCCTCGATTTTGCTAGGTCAGAGCCGATCACATCAATCAGAAGCTACCTTTGCCCTGGCTCTGCACCCTCGGCCTTCTCGTCCTGTCGCCTGGGCTTCAGCCTGTTGGTGCCGGATTTTGTGCACTTGGAAGCTGCAGTTTCTCCCAGAAGCCTTGCGCATCCCGAGCCAGTGGTGCCTGCTCTGGGCTACTTCCGTCTCGAATCCATGATGTCACCCAGGTCTTTCACCTGAACAGATCTTCCGGCCTCCGTTCTTGATTTCCTGCATCTCGGCCTGCTGACGCCGACGCGAAGCCTTTTGTGCGCTGATCTGCTCCCTCCGGTCTCAGGCCTGAATCGACCCGGCTTCGTGTTCTTGCTGCCTGCAACTGACACGGTCACTTTCGGGTCTTTGGTGCTATTGCAAAGTCTTGCTTGGGCCGGGCCGGTGATGTTGGTTCTCGACCTTCTGCACTCGGGCCCGTTGACTTCGTTGCAAAGTTGCGCGTGGATGGGCCCCGCCGCCTTGGTTCCGGACTCCTTACACTCGGGCTTCTTGCTGATTCCGCGAAACATGGCAAGACTCGGCTTTCTTTCGCCTGTGCCGGGCATTTCGCGCTTGGGCTCTCTGTCGTCGGCCCTGGACATGGCAGTCCTGGGCTCTCTGATGTCCTTGCGAAGTTCGTCCAGGCCAGGCTTGGCAGCTTTGGCACTGGACTCCTTACACTCGGGCTTGATCACGCTGTCGAGAAGCCATGGTAGGCTGGGTTTTGCCATGTCTGTTTTGAGGCGTTGTGTGCTGGAGAGCCCTTTGACAGCTCTGGACTTCGCTCATCTGGACGTGCCTGTGCTTGTGAGGAGCTTTGTCAGGATGGACAGCCCGCTCCTCGTGTTGGACCACCTGCGATCGGGCCCAACCCCACTGCCGCGATCCTTTGCATGCGTAAGCTTTGCCTCACCTGCCATTGGAATGACTTGCTTGGCTTCCGTCATGTCGGTTTCGGATGCTGTGCACCTTGGTCCGACGTTGTCTGCGCGATCTTTTTCCCACATTGGACTGGCTCTGCTGCCCATGGACTACATACAGATGGGCCCATTGATGCCGTCGAAGAGCATCGCATGTTTGGAAGCCAGTGCTCCAGCTCTCGATCTTCTCTGCCCGGGGTCGATGCTGCTTGTGCAATCCTCTGCTTGCATGGGATCGGTGCTGCCTGCCCTTGACTTTCTGCTCCTCGGGCCAAACTTGTCTGCTCAAAGCTTCGGTCGCTTAGGCTTCCTGGCATCAGTTTCGGATCTCATGCATCCCGATTCCTTCATTTTGCTGCGGAGCCCTTCGCAAATGGAAGCTGCCCCGTCCTCATCGGACCATGCCGCAGTAGCGTCCTCCATGCTCGTACGCAGCTTCGCACGCCTGGGACTGACCTTTCCCGCCGCAGGTCGCGCCAGGCCGGGCTTCCTTCTGCTGCTCTCGGACTTTACCAACCTTGGCTTTCCGGTTCCGGTGCGAAGCCGCGCTTGCTCGGGCCCTCCTTTGCCAGCCATTGACTTCTTGAGACCGGGCTCCCTCATGCCTTTGCGCAGCCACACCTGAACGGGCTTCGCGGCCTCTTCGTTCGGAAAGATCAACCTGGAAACCCTTCTGCCAACCTCGGATCGGTCTCTGCTGGGCCTGCCGGCGCCGTCGAGAAGCCACTCCCGAACGGACTCTTTTGCGCTTGCTTCGGACTCTTTGCACTTGGGCCTTTCGACCTCGGCACGGAGTTACACCCGCTTTGGCCCGGGGCTGCCGGTTTCGCAAGCTGCGCGCTTCGGCTCGCCGCCTTCCGTTCCGGATCATGCCTGCTTGGGTCTAGTGTTACCTGTGCGAAGCTCCGCCAGACCGGGACCTTCCGTGTCGACAACGGACTTCCTTCAACTAGATCCGGCCTTGCTTGTTCGATCACTCGCAAAGGTCGGCCTGGCAATGCCAGCTTGCGATTTCCTGAGGCTGGGCTTCTCACCCTCCCCGCGCAGCTTCAGCCGATTCGGAAGTATGGCGCTGGCTTCAGGGTTGATGCGGCTTGAAGCCTCGTTGCCGGCATCGGACGTTGCTTCATCAGGCCCCGTGCCGCCATTGCGCAGCCTCACGTATCTGGGATTCCTTCTGCCTGCAACCGACCTCGTGCAGACGGGCCCCACGCCGGCAATCAGAAGCTTTGCGCGATCGGAGGCCTTTGTACCGGTCTTGGACTATCTGCGCCCGGATGCCACGCCTTCGGCGCGCAGCATGGCGCAGCTGGAAAGTGCCATGTTGGTTTTCGGCGTGGGTCGTTCTGGCCTTATTCTTTTGGTGCCGGATTCCATGCAGCCAGAATTTCTGCTTTTGCTTCGCAGCTTTTGCAGGCTTGGACCCACTTTATTGGTCTTGGACTTCTTGCGCTCGGAAAGCTCTCCTTTCGTGCGCTCTTACCTCAGATCCGGCTTTCCTGTGCCTGCGACGGGGGTGACTCGGCCAGGTCTGCTAGCGTTTGTTTTGGACCTCGTGCATCTTGGTCCGGCTTTGCCACTTCGAAGCACGGCCTGTCCTGAAGCCGCCTCGCCTGTACTGGACTTCTTGCACCCTGGGTCAATGCTTCTGGTGCAAAGTCTCTCAAGTTCTGGCCTGCTGCCGTCACTGCGGATGTTTGCGTGCTCTGGCAGTGCATTTTTGGCGTGTGGGCTTTCTTGCGTGGGCCTTCCGTCGTTCGTTTTGGATCTCGTGCTCCTGGGACCCGCTTTGTCGGCCCAAAGTTTGGGACGTTTGGACTTGGTCATGCCTGTCTTGGACTTCTTGCACTTGGGTTTTGCCACCTTGGCGAGAAACCCTGCAAGATCCGGCTTCCCCTTTCCTGCATTTGGGGTGTCTCGTTGTGGCTCGTCCTCCCCTATCCTTGACCTCACCTTCTTGGGCTCTCTGGCGCCTGTCCGAAGCTGTGCATGCCCCGGCTTTCCTTTGCTGACTCCTGATCTTATGCACCTAGAGCTTCCGCTCTTGTCGCGATCCTTGGGTCGACTTGAAAGCGCTGCGCCGACCTTTGGAATGAGCAAGATGGGCTTGATGCCTCCAGTGCCCGACTACGCCCTCCCCGGCTCGCCATCACCTCCACGAAGCTCTTCACAAATGGAGCTAACCCCCTTGGTGTCGGACTCCCTGCAATCAGGTTTTACCATGCTGATGCGAGCCTCTGCGCGAATGGGTTTCCCTTTGTTTCCCTTCGGCCAAGTCTGGTTCGGCCCCTTTCTTCCGGTGCCAGATCCTTCCGATCTTGGCTTGGCTCTGCCTGCTCGATGCCTTGCTAGCTTCGGCTTCGCCTCGTCCCTGCACAGCTTTGCCCACTTCGGCTCGGCGTCTTCACTGCTGGGCGTGGCGAACCTCGAAGCTTCAGCGCCAGCTTTGGACCATGTCCTGCCAGGCCCTCCTACTCCGGTACAAAGCCTCGGACAATCGGGACTCTTCGTTCCAGTGCTAGACTCTCTGCGTCCCGAATCCCCACCTTTGCTGCAAAGCTCTGGTTGAGCAGATCTCTTTCCGTTCACGTCTGGCATCGCACGCTTCGGGGCATCGATGTTCATTTTGGACTCTGTCGCATGCGGCAGCCCGCCACCCCTGCGGCGTCCTGCCCGCGTTGGCCCAGCACCTCCAGCACTTGACTCCATGCAGCCAGGATCCATGCTGCCACCAAGGAGCCTTGGCCGTGTGGATGCGCCTTCGTTCGTCTTCGGGCTGACTTGCTGCGATGCTTTGATGCCACCTCTGGACCACATGCTTGTAGACAGCGCCCTGCCTCTGCACAGCTTCGCACGGGCAGGATTAGCTTCTTCTGCCCTTGGAATCGCTCGGCTGGCTTTCCCGCCCTCAGCATCGGACCTTGCTCATCCCGAACCTCCCCTGCTGACGCAAAGCTTCGCAAGGACCGGGTCTGCGGTTCCAATTCTTGACCTCCTTCACCTCGGGCTGTCGCTATCGGCCCAAAGCCTTTCGAGCTCTGGATCCTTGATGTTGCCGCGGAGCGTTGCCCGGTTCGGGTCATGTTCCTCGGCCTTCGGGCTTGCACGCTGTGGCGTGTCCTCCTTCGTGCCGGAACACGCGTTCCTGGGTTTGCCATTATCTTCGAGATCAATGGGACAATCGGGCTCGGCTCCTTCCGTTCCGGACTCTTTGGAACCGGGTTTTCCGCCCTCACCTCGAAGCCTGGCTCGGCTTGGATTCGTGTCGTCGGCAACGGGCATCGGGTGCCCAGGGTCTTCCCTGCCGGCACTGGACTCCGCGGACTTGGAAGCGAGCTCATCTTCACGCAGCATGTCTTGCTTGGGTTTAGGTTTGCTCGCTTTGGACTTCTTGCATTCGGGGCCACTGCTTCCTCTTCGTTCTTCTGCCAGATTCGGCCCGGTCATGCTGGCCTCTGGCATCGGATGTGTGGAAGCATCGCCGCCTGTGCTGGACCATGCTTTCCTGGGCTTTTCCGTCCCACTGCGATCCCCTTCACGCCCCGAGCCTGCGGTGCCAATTCTGGACACCTTGCATCTGGGCTCCATGATGCTGTCACATCACCTCGCCCGCTTGGACCTGCTGCTGCCTGTCTCCGGCTGTAGCTGCTTCGGCCTTCCCTTGTTGCTTCTAGATCTCAGCCTCCTTGGGTTGTCGGCATCACCTCGAAGCCATGCTCAAACAGGCCTGGCTCCTCTGGCTCCGGACTCCTTGCACTTGGGCTCATCGATGTTCCTCCGGAGCCACATCAAGGTTGGATCAGCTGTCTCGGTTTTCTCGCGCCTTCGCTTTGATTCGAGCCTGTCTGTCTTGGACTTCACACACTCTGACGCATCGCCTTTGCTGCACAGCTCCGCATGTGGCGGCCTGGCCTCACCAGCTTCCGGCATGTTCCGCACAGGCTTTCTGCCTCTTTTGTCAGACTACGCACTCCTGGGCTCGGCGGTGTTGCCGCGCAGCTTTGCATGGCTTGGCTCAACAGTCTTCGTCTCGGATTTTTTGCATTTGGGCTTCTTCACTTTTTTGCAAAGCTATGGTTGAGTCGAATCTGCCATCCCGGCCCCGGACTTCCTGCACTTGGGCTCCTTTCTTCCTTTCCGTTCCTTCGCTCGCTTGAGCTCTTCTTTGTTGGTCTCGGACCACGAGCACGTAGGCTCTTCGATGCCTGCGAGATCCCTCGCATGAACGGGCTTGGTGGTATCTGCATCGGACTTCTTGCACCTTGGCCCAAGCCTGTCTCCTCGCAGCCCTGGATGCCTTGGGAGCGCGATGCCGACCTTCGGTAAGGTGCAGCCAGAGTCGACTCTCTCTGCCTTGGATTCTGCCCAAATGGAGCTGGCCTTGCCGCCGCGCAGCTTTTGCCGTGCGGGTCCTGCGTCGCTTGCCTTGGACTCCTTGCATCCTGGCTTTTCTCCTCTTCTGCACAGCTGTGGAAAATCGGGAAGTGTGGTGTTGCTTCTTGGAGTCGCTTGGTTTGGCAGCTTTCTGTCGACCTCAGACTTCGTCTGTTTGGACTTCGTGCCTCTTCTCAGGAGCTCCTTGCAGCTTGGAGTGTTGACGTCAGCCTTAGATCACGCCAGGTCAGGGCTTTCTCCGCTTCTGCACAGTTTGGGACAGTCGGGTGCTGCCACGTCTGTGTGTGGCACTGCTTGACTTGACTTCTCCCTTCCGGTCTCGGACTACGTGCAGCTCGGCCTCGCATCCTCCACACGCAGCCCTGCACGCCCGGGCCCTGCGCCCTCTGCTCCCGACTTTCTGCATCCCGGAAGCGTCACGCTGCTGCGCAGCCTCCTTCGAATCGGCCCCTCCTCTTTTCTCTTCCAATCGTCTCGCCTCGGTCTCTCCACTTCAACCTTGGACTGCTGCGAGACAGATCCTTCCATGCCACTGCGCAGCCCTGGATGCCTCGGCACGGCTCTGCCAGCCTCCTCTTGCGTGCGTGTGGAGCCGCTGCTGCTGCCGCCAGACTTCGCGCTTCTCGGCTCGACGGCCTTTCTTCGAAGCCTTGCACGGTCAGGGCTTGCTGCGCCTGTTCTTGACTTTCTGCGGCTTGACCTCCTGCTGTCCCTTCGAAGCTTTACTTAGCCGGGATTGGGAGTGCTTGTTCCTGACTTCCTGCACTCAGGGGCCCCTTTGCCAACGCGCAGCCTTTCCAAGCCAGACTTGCCATCGCCCGCGACGGATCTTGGGCATTCGGGCCCCACGTCATCTGCGCGGTCGCATGTGCGATGTGGCTTCACGATGCTGATCTTGGACTTTCTTGAGCTGGGGCCATCGTTGTCACTCCGTAGCTTTGCTCGTTCTGGCTCTGCATTTCTCGCTTCAGGCATCGGCCGTGTTGGGCTACCCTCGCTGACTCTGGATTTTGCACAAGTCGGCCCTTCACCTCTGACTCGAAGTTCTACTCAGCTGGACGTCGCAGCTTTTGCTTCGGATCTTCTGCATTTGGGGCCTTCCATGCTTCCCAGGAGCCATGCCAGGATTGACCTGGCGTCTTCGGCCTTCGGGTTCGCGAAAGCCGGAGCCTCACCTCCCGCGTCAGACCACGCTCACCTGGGCTTCATGACATCCGCCCACAGCCTCACTTGAATTGGATCGAGTCCCCCGGTGCCCGATCCCTTGTCTCCAGAATCTGCGCTGCTCCTGCAATCGTTCGCATGTGCAGACCCTTCACTGCCCACTCCTGACCACGCCCACCCGGACCCCGCAACGCCGATCCGCAGCTTTGCACAACCAGGACAGCCTGCATAGTGTTGCATGTGCAGGGGGATCATAAAGGGCGTCCCGATCCGCTCAATCAGGACTTATGGCGCTGCCCTTGGACCCTGTTCATATCGGCAGTACGCTGCTGATTCGAAGCCGGAGCCTCGACGCCGTCGACACCTGTGGTCGCTGTGTCGCTTCCGTGCACGTGCGGTTTCAGGCCACGCTCGTCCGGATGTCGCTACGTCGGCTCTCGACCTTGTGACCTGCTAGGACCCTTTCAAGGGCAACCCGGGAGTCAAGTCAAACAGTCAAACGCTAAACAATTAGCCCTGAAGCCCTAAACGCTGACGAGGTACATCCGGGACCAACGACAGCAATCAGAAGCTTCTGCTGCCTGGGTACGGTCGTGCTCGCCAGCTCCCCAGCGACCCAGCGAGCCAAGAGCTTGGAGTCACTTTCCCGAGAGCTGATACATACATATATATATATATATGTATATGTATATGTATACATGTATATACATGTATGTATGTATGTATATATATATATATTCATGTTTATGTGCATGCATATGTATATGTATATGTATATATATATATATATTATATTATACACATGTGTATACGTAACATCTATGTATGTATATGAATTAGGGTTTATATTACCGTTTTGGCGAGTGTAGATAGGGCTCCTTTTGAATATTGGTGAGTGTATGTACTCGGTTCTATTATGGGGATACTAGTAATATATACCATACTCTACATGTATATGTATATATACATAGGTATATGTTTACATTTGTATTACATGATATTACAGTCTAGGCTGTTCTATTTTAATCTATTCTTTAGCTTTATTGTCTTATGTATCATAAAATATTTCAGTACATTATGCTACAATTTTGGTACATATATTTGTATATATGTGTTTATTACTATTGAATATATACAGTTTAAAAAATAGCATATAGAATAGAAGAAATATAGCGAATATTTGGAGGATATAGAGTATATCTATACACATGTTTCTGTCTCATGCCATGTACTATATAATGTCTAATATGTGATCCATAACACAGAATGTATAATGTATGGCCTTCATGTATATATATATATATACACACACACACATAATTTATGTGTGTATATATATATGCACATATAAAACATGTGCGTATATGTATATTGTATAATATGTATATATATATATATAGGTACACACTCATATATAGATGTATACATACACAACTATGACTATGAACATCAACATGTAAGTCCATGGATACACAACCCATAAGTAAAACACACAAGTAAATGTGTACAACAACACAATATGTATATGTATATATATATATATACATATATATATATATATTTATACGGTACCCCCCTCCCCCGTTTTGGAAGAATTTTGGAATGTTTGGAATTTGATGGAAATCTTAGGCAGTTTTCAGATTTTTCGAACTCACCAATGGTATCGTGAGTTCTGGACTCTTGAAAGTCTATAAGATTTCGTGTGAAAGCTTGGTCCAGGGGTGGGGGCTAGCATATATATATATATATATACACATACACATGTATAAATATATGGAATTAGTACCTCATTGATTTCTTCATTAACTGGTTAGTGAATTAATTACTCATTTGCATCATTTACTTCTTGCTTAATAAATTCATGTATCAACTACTTCATCGATTAGTCAACTAATGGGTTATTGTCTTAACTACTCACTTTCTCTGTTTATTTATTTACCTATCTGTTTGTGTTCTGGCACACATATGTACAGACAACGCACACACACGAAATATATTCATCTTCATATATATACATATATCTATGTGGAGAGAGACATCTATATGCATATACATACACACAAACACATACATATACACATATACACACATGCACATACATACCCATGTCCATACATACTCATACACAAATGTACTTACAGCGAGAGAGTAGCCTCGAACACTTGAGGCGCTGGATCCCACACAATTTGGACTGCGTTGCTCTCAGTGTTCTCTCAGAGTTGTAGCTGTGACCTGAACCTTAAGCATATGACTGCCAAGTTTTTTTCGTGTTTGAACAATGAACAACGTAACGGAGGCCGCTGCCCGTGCACAGTCGTGCATGATCGGGACTGGCGCTCTTTGCTTCGGACTCCCTTCATTCGGGCAGCGCGTTGCCTACGAGGATGCCAGGGCACTTCGAGCAAAATGGGTTCGAGTTGAACTGCAGCTTCCTCACAGGACCCATGGAAGACTTGATGCTGCCGTGTCGACCTTCGGTGTGGCTTGCATGGGCCTCTTCGTGTGCCCTGACGCAGTTTATCGGACCTGAATTGTTTGTGCTTTCCATGAGACGTGTTGGCAGTACTGTCATGTGAATCCAGGCTGACATCAGATCATGTCTACGTTGGTTCTCTTGCTTTGCCACGCAGCTTCACAAGACTAGGCCAGGCAAGGGAGGGGCAGAGGAGAGAGAAGTAGGAGCGATGAGTCTTGCTTGATGAGGCAGTGCTCCGTCAGCGCTTGACTCCTTAGTCCTCGGCTTCACGCTGCTGATCAGATCGCCTGCTTGCCTTGAAAGCTCTGTACTGGTTTTCAGCAGAGCTACACCTGACTCACCCACACTTGTCTTGGACCTTGCGATTCCTGGCCTGTCTGTCCTGACTCGTAGTCTCGCGAGACTTGGCCTTGCTATGCTGGTCTTGGATCCTATCCATACGGAGCTGTTGGTTTTTGTCCGATCACTCGCATGTCTTGACGCCACGATGCTCGCGTCGAATCTTGTGCATTCAGAATTCGCTCTGCTTATGCAATCCTTTGCATGTGCCGATGTGTCAGCGCTTGTCCCGGACTTCGCCCACTCAGAGCCGATCACTTCTCCTCAAAGCGTCGCTTGTACGGATTCTGTGGTGCTTTCGCCTGATTTCGTTCATTCCGAGCCTGTGCTGCCGGTGCAAAGCTCTGTTCGGTTGGATGCAAGCGCGTCTTCGATAGATTACGCGCACTCCGGATCCATCTCGCTGATCAGAAGCCCTTCATGCCCCGCCTTGCTGCTGCTGGCAATGGATTCTGGACATCCAGGGCCTTCCTTATCATTGCGCAGCTTCGGTTGCGTGGGCTTCGCCCCTCCGACTTCTGGCCAGGTCCGGATGAGTTTGTCGCTTTTAGTGCCGGACTCTGTGAACTCAGAGGTGGTCTTGTCGCCGCACAGTTTTGCACGCCTTGACGTGGTTACGTCAGCGACAGACTCTGCAAAACTGGGATCTTCCCTTTCCCTCCGGTCTTCTGCGCAACCCGAGCTCGCCATGATTGCCTTTGGCATCGTCTGGGCTGGTTTCGTTTCGTCGGCGTCGGACTACATTCACATCGGCCTCTTGATGCCGGTTCGTAGCCTTGCTCGAATGGAAAGTGCCGTGTTGGCTTTGGACTCCTTGCACACGGGCCTTCTGCCGTCTTCGAAGAGCTTCTGCCGCTGTGGTTCTTCGGTTTTGGCCTTCGGGGCCTCAAGGACCGGCACGTTTTTGCCCCCTTCGGACTCCGCGAATTTGGGGTCTTCGGCATCTTTGCGGAGCTCGAGCTGCACGGGAGCGGCACCCTCGGCCTCGGATTTTTTGCACCTGGGCCCGGCTTCGCCTTCGCACTCCCTCGGCTGTGCGGGTTTGGCACCTTCGGCATTCGGCTTGGCACGTATGGACGCCTTCGCATCGATCTTGGACCATGTGCAGGCTGGGCCAGTGCCTTTCTCGAGAAGTGTGGCAAGGTCAGATGCCTCCGCTCTTGCCCTTGACTTTGTGAACTTTGGTTTCAGCACATCTGCACGAAGTTCCGGCCAACCAGGTCCGCTGCTTTCCACACCAGACCGTCTGCACCTGGGCTTGCCTTTGTTGCTGAGGAGCTCGGGACGGCTCGGACTTGCTTTCCCTGCGTACGGAGGAGCATGCTACGGACCCACGCCTCCTGCGCGCAGCCTTGTGACGCTTGGCTCCTCCTCCCTTCCCTTTGCCACTGGTCGGCCGGGTTTCCTGCCGTTTGCCCTGGATCTTGCTCTCCTTGGCTCCTCCACTCTGATCAAGAGCCCTGCATACACGGGCTTTGCCTTGTTTGTCTTGGATTTCTTGCACATGGGATTGGCCTTCCCGACCCGAGCATCCACACAAACGGGCCTGGCCTTCCCGATTTTCGGGCAAGCGCAATGTGATCTGTTTCTGCTGGCACCGGACCTCGCTGAACTCGGCCCTGCCCTGCCAGTGCAAAGTCTCGCAAGGCTTGGCTTTGCCATGCCAACCTTCGACTGCCTCCGCTCAGGGCCTACAATGCCTCTGAGGTCACCCGTCCACCTGGGACCTGTCGTTTTGCTTTCCGGTCTCGCTTGACCGGAGCTTGTGTTCTCCCCATCAGTGATAGCTGCGACAGAACCGGGTCCAGCACTCTCCCTGCGCAGCATGGCCTGTTGTGATTCAGTGCTTCCAGTGTCAGACCTCTTGTATCTCGGTCTGCTCTTGTCCCTGCGGTCCCGCTCACAATCGGGCAGCGTTATGCCGGTGTCTGGGGTCGCTTGTTGTGGAGCCTTCTTGTCAGCATTGGACTCTGCTCACTCGGGACTTGCCATGCCTCTGCGAAGCATGGCCCGCACAGGTTTTGCCATGCTCACACTAGACTGCCTTCGTCCTGAGTCCATCATGCCGCTCCGAAGTAGTTGCCGCACTGGCTTCGCTCCTTTGGCTCTGGATTTCTTGCATTCGGATGCGTTGATGTTTCTGCGATCCTTCGCCTGTGCAGGCTTGGCAGTGCCTGCGTCAGGCTGCACTTGCTTGGGCTTCTCTCTGCCAGTGTTGGACCCTGCGGCTACAGGTTCAGTGGTATTTGTGAGGAGTTTCGCTTGGTCAGGTCTGGCCGCTTTTGCACCCGACTTTTTGCACTCGGGGCCAGCTTTGCCTGTTCGCTCCCCGGTCCGCTCGGGCGTTTCGCTGTCGGCCATCGACCTCCTGCACTCGGGCTCCTCGATGCCGCTGCAAAGCCTCGCCCGCCTCGGCCCCGCGTCTTTCGCCTCCGGCCTAACGCACGCGGGGCCGCTTTTGCCGGCACCGGATTCCGCACACCTCGAGCTCATGCTTCTCGCACACAGCTTCGCTCGTCTGGGCCTTGCAGCGTTTGTTCTAGATTTCCTCCAGCTCGAAAGCCTCCTGTCCTTGCACAGCCCTGTGCACCTGGGCCTGTCTCTCCCCGCTCTGGATCTGCTTGAGTCGGATGTTCTCATGCCTCTCCAATCCTTCGCCAGGCCCGACCCGGCTGTTCCGATCTGTGGCATCTCTCGATCCGGCTCTCCGCTCCTTGCCCCAGACCATGTCCAGCTCGGCTCGCCCCTGCCAGTGCGGAGCCTTGCATGCACGGGTTCCGCCATGCCGACCCTCGACACATTGCTTCCTGGCTTCACAATGCTTCCACAAAGCTCCTCCAGGCCTGATCTTCCAATGCCCATGCCCGGCCTGGCTTGCATGGGACTCGTCTTCTTCTTGCCAGTGGTAAGCTTTGCTCTGCCTGAACCTCCTGTTCTCTTACGAAGCTTGGCTTGTGCAGAATCTGCCCCCTCCGCCTTGGACTCCCTGCATCTCGGAAGTTCGCCTTTGCCAAGGAGCCGTGGACGTTCGGGGGCTGCAGCGTCTGCATTGGACTCCCTGGAGCTGGGTTTGGCCTTGCCTTTGCGCAGCTCCGCTAAGGCGGGGGCTTCCTCGCCCGTACCCGACTCTATCCACGCGGCTTCTTCCGCGTCGGTCCACAGCGTTGCCTGACTCGACGCGGTTATGCCGGCCTTGGATTTCCTGCATCCGGGCTCTGCCGCCTCTGTGCGTGGCCATGGCTGCTCCGATGTTCCACTGTTGGCAACGGGCATGTTCAGAACCGGACCGCCTCTGTCAGCGTCGGGCCTCCTTGATCTTGGACCGGCGGCTTCGCTCCACAGCTGTGCCCGCTCGGCGTTCGCTCCTTTCGTCCTGGACTTTTTGCATCTGGACCCCGTGCTTCCACCTCACAGCTCTGCATGTGGTGGTTTAGCACCTCCAGCACTGGGTGTGTCGCGCCCGGGTTTGTCTCTGTCTACCTGTGATTTTACGGCGCTAGGTGTCTTGTTGTCGTTGAAGAGCCTTGCATGTTCGGAGGTTGCATTGCTTGCGTCAGACTTTGCTCGTACTGATTCGTCGTTGCCGCTTCAAAGCTTCTCTCGCGTGGGCTCAGTACCGTTTGTCACGGGGATGTTGCGAGTGGGCCTCCCTTTGTCTGCCCTGGATGCTGTAAACCTCGAGAGCTCTCCTTTTACGCAAAGCTCTGGACGACCCGACTTGGTGTTGCCAGCTCTTGACTCTTTGAAACTGGGTCCGCCACTCTTGTCGCGAAGTTCTGGAAGGACCGGCCTCGCGGCTAGTAGCTAGTGGAGCACATGTAGCAAGGTATCCAGGCACTAGACTATGCCTATGCTGAACCGTGTGTTTGCGCCAGTTCTTCACTACAAAGGTCTATTTGGGGAGTTCCGAAAATAGGTGACCCTAATGTAGTACCCTAAATAATAGGATCCTTAATGTAAGGACCCCCAAATAAGGTACCCTAACTTTCTGAAACTCCCATTTGAGTCTATTTCCCCTCTTTAGGGCCTCTGCCTGCCTACAAAGGTCTACTTGAGTCTAGTTCCCCTCTTCAAGGGCTTCTGCTTTTTTTGCAGAACCCTAAACCCTAAACCCTAAACCCTAAACCCTAAACCCTAAACCCTAAACCCTAAACCCTAAACAGGACTGGCTTGGCCTCCTTGGCATCCGGCACGGCGCGCTATGGGCCGACCACGCCGGCGCGCAGCTCCGGGATCCCCGGACCTGCCCTGCCGACTTCTGGACGCTTGGGACGGCACTTAAGGGGCCACGTCCTAAATTTTGGGGGGTTTCCGAAAAATAGGGGGGTACTGTAGCTTATTTTGGGGTCCTTATAATAGGGATCCTACTATTTGGGGGTACTATATTAGGGTCCCCTATCTTTGGGAACCCCCAACTATCCTAAATCGTGAAGAGTCAAGTGAGTCAAGGTGTAGAGTCTGCATCTGAATCTGAGGCTTGGTGAGGACGGGTTCTCCGATGCCTTTGCCGGACTTCGCCATTCTCGGTCTGCCTCCGCTTGTACAAAGTTGCGCTTGGCTCGGTGCCGCCCTGCTTGTTTTGGATCTCGGGCATATCGATCTTCCCCTTTCATTGCAGAACCTCTTCAGAGCAGATTTGCTGACATCAGTGTCCGGCTGCAGTTGGGTGGAGGCCTCGTCACCAGCTCCCGACCTCGCGCTTCCCGAGCCCTCGGCGTTGCTACGTAGCCTCGCATGTTCAGGCATCGTATCGCCAGCATCGGACTCCCTGCACCTGGAGCCCGCGCCGTCTCTGCATTCATTCACCCACCTCGCCTTGCCAGCGCCCATCCCGGACCTCCTGCACCCGGGACCCTTGCCTCTACTTCAAAACATTGGGCATGTCGATTCTGCCCCTTTGCTGGTTGGAGTTAGTCGCCTGGACGTGTCGCCTCCCGTCTCAGACTCTGTCCATTTGGGGCCGCTCATGCCCCTTCAAAGCTCGGCCTGCATTGAGTCTGCTGTGCCAGCATCGGACACCCTGAAGCTGGGATCGTCTTTATCACTGCGCAACCTCGCTAGGCTTGGCCCTTTGCCTTCAGTGGTCGGTCTAAGCAGGTTTGAAACATCTCCAGCGGTTCCTGACCTGGCACATCTTGGGTTGCTGCCGTCTTCACGCAGTTTCGGGTGTGCAGATCTGTTTTCGTTGGTGTGTGGTATGCACCGAACAGACGTGAGCTTGTTGGTCCCGGATCTTGCACATTTGGGATTCGCGATGTTGCTGCGAAGTTTCGCCCAATCAGATGTCTTGCTTTTTGCTTCAGACTGCCTGCACCCAGAGCCGATCCTGCCTATGAGAGGGCTCACCAGGATGGGTTTTCTGATGCCAGTGTTCGGAGATATAAAATTCCCCAGCGGGTTTGGAAGTGTCAACCTCTCAGTGCTGGGGAGGGTTCGCTTCGGTTTCAGTCTGTTTGTGCTAGATCGGGTTACCTTCGGCTTCGTGCCGTCAACCAGGAGCCCTAGCTGGCCGGGTTCCAGTGCGTCTGTTTTGGACTTCCTTCGATCGGGTTTGAGCATGTTGCTTCGAAGTTCCACTCGACCCGGCCCGAGCTCTCCACTTTTGGGCCTGTCACGGATGAGCTCCTCACCCTTGACTTCAGACCACGTGCAGCCAGATTCTACAATGCCGGCTCGAAGCCTTGCGCACCTGGGCTCTTTTGTGCCAGCATCGGAATCTGCAATGGTCGGGTCGACCTTGCCGACCCGCTCCGTCGCAAGGTTGGGATTTGTGGTGCCGTCACTGGACCTTGTTCACTTCGGCCCCCTTCTGTCTCTGCGAAACCATCTGCACGTTGGGCCGATGACATTGCTCTTCGGGCAAGGTCGATCTGATCTGAGCCTTTCTGTACCGGACCTCCTTCAACCAGAGCTTGCCATGTTCTCGAGAGCTCTCTGCAGAATCGGTCCCACGCCCTCGGCTCTGGATTCTTTGCACTTGGGGCTCATGATGCTCTTAAGGTCCAAAGCGCAATCTGGCTTGGCGTTTTTAGCATTTGGCATGACATGATTAGACCTGAGTCTTTTCGTCCTGGACGTTGCCAATCTTGGTCCTGTTCTGTTCTTGAGATCGCCTGCTCGACCTGACAGCTTCTCTTTGCTTCTGGACCTGGCCATCTCTGGGTTACCGGCCCTCGCGCAAAACTCTGCTCAACCGGAGTTTGCATCTTTAGCCTGTGGGCTTGTCTGTTTTGACCTTACGTCACCTGTACCAGACTTTGCCGAGCTTGGCTTGCCGGTGACTCCTCGCAGCCTTGCCAGACTGGGCCCCGTACCGGTGGCATGTGGCCGCACTCAGCTTGATCCGTTGCTGCTTGCACCGGACCTCGTGCATCCTGGCTCCTTGACATTGTCGCAAGCCTCTGCACGCCTTGCAGCATCGATGCCGGCACTCGACTTCGTCCAGCCCGACCTACCCTCGACGCTGCGAAACCCTTTCTGCTTGGGTAGCATCGTGCCAATGCCAGGATTGTCTTGCCCAGGCTTCTGTTTTGTTCTGCCGGTTACAAGCAGCACGCTCCTGGGCTCACCACCGCCAGCGCAAAGCTGCACTCGCTTGGCATTTTTGCTGCCAGCTCTTGATTTTGCTCACGCGGACTTGCTGCTTCTGCCCCATAGCTCAGGCAAGCTGGAGTTGCCACTGCTTGTTTCCGGCATTTCTCGATTTGAGTTGAGCCCACCAGTGCTTGACCCATTGCACCTCGGCGTGGTCATGCCCTTGCGTTCGTCTGCCTAGCTGGACTTGCCAGTTCTGGCGTCGGATTCTGCTCGTATCGAACCACTTCTGCCGCCAAAGTCCTCTGCACAACTTGGTTTTGCTTTCTTTGCATTTGGAGTCGTGAGGACAGGACTCATTCTGTCTATTCTTGACGGTTGCCAGGCCGGGTCGCCTGTCTTTGTGCGAAGCCTTGCTTGTCTGGGTCCGAGCCTGTCCGCAACAGACTTTCTGAATATGGGCCCACCGACTCCTATGCACAGTCTCGCACGGCTCGGTTCAACTGTGCCCGCGACCGGCATTGCACACCTTGGGCCTGTGTCCTTGCTGCCACCCACTGACTGTGCAAGATCAGAGCCGTCTGTTTTCATTAGGAGCATGAGCTGCCTCGCTTCCCCAACGCCGGCACTGGACTGCACACACTTCGGACCTGTGACACCTGTGAGAAGCCTCGTTCATGTCGGCCTGGCCGTGTCTGCCCTGTCTTCCGCACACATGGGCCTGTTTTCATCGATTCGAAGCCGGGCTTAGTCAGGTCCTGGGGTGTTTGTTTTGGATTTCTCGCACATCGAGCTAGCGTCTTCCATGCAATCGCTCTCCCGCGCTGGCCCGACAGTGTTGATCCCTGGCTTGTCTCGGGCAGGCTCCGTCTTCGCGCTGCCAGTGACAAGTAGCACCACCTTGGGATCCGCGCCGCCGCTTCAATCAGCCTGCAGAATCGGCTTCGCGCCTTTAGCTTCAGACTTCCTCCACATGGGACTTGCGATTCTGACGAGGGTTTATTCGCACCCCGGATCTTCCGTCCCAGCCTTTGGCCGGGCCAGACCTGGCCTTAGTCTCCCGGTCTCGGGCTTTGCACATCTGGCCCTGTCCTCGTTTTCGCGATCTTCCGGGCGGTCGGGGTCTCCTGCACCAGCACTTGGCCTCGCAAAGCTGGGGCTTCTGGCGTTCCCTCGGAGCATGTGCAGGGCAGGCTCGAGTGTGGCCTTGCTTGGACTGTCAAGAGTGGGCCTTGTCTCCTCCATGAGCGTGATTGCGTTTGCGCACTTTGGGCCTCTGCTGCTCGCCAGAAGCCGGGCTCAAGTGGGACCCTCATCGCCGGTGCTTGATTCCTTGGACCCAGGGCCCTTGTCACCACTGCGGTCTGCAGCGCGCCTGGGTTTGTCATCGTTTGCTTTGGATTTCCTCCACATGGAGCTGTTGGTGTCGCTGAGAACCCCCTCGTGTGCAGGCTCAATTCCTTTAGCCTTTGGACTCTCGTGCATCGGCCTCGTTTTCTCGCTGTCTTTGGCCGACTTTGCGCGGATGGACCCTTTGGTTCCTCCCAGAAGTACGGCTCAAACCGGCCTTCCCTCGTTGGCCCCGGACTTTTTGCATCCGGGCCCGGCGCTACCGCCACAAAGTTATTCTTGTCTTGGGTCGCTGATGCTGATGCCGGGAGCTCAGTGGACGGAAGGGGAGGTCCGACCGTGAGGCGCGTGGCAGCATTTGCTTGTCAAGGCTTGGACTGTCCTGGCTGGGACTCGTCTTCTTCCTGTCGGTGCCGGACTAAGCTGTGAGGCTTTCCTGACGTGAGATAGTCTGACTAGTTCCGCTATCAAAACAGCAGTGTTTCCATGTAAAGTCTTACTGCAGGCAGCTGTGAACAATGGCCAACACTAAGGTCGTCGCCAGTGCGCAATTGGGCTCTGTCCTTTTGCTTCAAAGCACGGCACGAACTGGCTCGACTCTTCCAGTGTTCGATCTCCTGATGGCGGACAGCTCGATGTTGTTGCACAGTGCCGGCCCCGGAGAAGCAAGACAGAGAGGCGAGAAGGGGAAGGGAAGTGTCAGTGACTATCAGCTGGATCCTACAAAGAAGACCCTAAGATTCCATTCTCAGCTCTCCCAGAGGGAGAGAACTAGCACCAGAGAGATCAGAGAGAGCGAGAGACACAGAGGTCAGCGGAGAGAGAGTGGCGAAAAAAATACAAGAAAAAAAGAGAGCAAGTCAGTGACGTTACCTTGAAGGCGTGTCCTCTTCGAGTGTTTTGACATGTGCTTGACCGAGGCTTGAGCCATCTTGGCTCGGCGTCCGTGGCCTGTGGCATCAGCAAATTGGGGTTTTTGCCATCTGCCTTGGGTTCTATGCATTTGGGATCCCCGGCGCCAGCAAAGAGCTCGGCTCACCTCGGATTGGTTGCGCTGATCTTGGACCGCCTGAAGTTGGGATCACCTCTTCCTCTCCAAAGCTTCGTCCAAGTCGGCTTTCCGGTTTTCCCGGTTGGTCTCTCACGGCCTGGCTTTGTCTCCTCTTTGTCAGTGGCAGAGAGTGCAACTCCTGGCCCAGCGGTCTTTGCAAGGAGCTTCTGCCGAACCGGCCTCGTCTTGTTGGTGCCTGACCCTTTACATCTTGGCCCACCGCTGCCATCGCACAGCACGGCACATCTCGGCAGTCGGGCTTTCTTACAGGGCTTGGCTTGTTCCGGCTCCGTGTCCCTGCTGCCAGTGGTCGCCTGCGCACATTCAGGCTCTGTTCTGCTGCTGCACAGCATCGGGTGCCCTGGGAGCTCGATTCTGGCTCTTGCCTTTGGACACTTGGGGTTGTCCCTATTGCTGCAATCGTCTAGTCGCCTCGGTCCCGCCGTGCTCGCTTTTGGTATGACGGATTGTGGAGTGTCGCCCTTGCTTCTGGATTTCGTGCAGTCGGGTTCTGCGCTTTTCGCCAGGTCCTTTACATGTCCCGAACTTGTTCCTTCTGTGCCTGATCTCTTGCATCTGGACCTATCACCCTCTCTTCGATCATTTGGCCATCCGGACTCGCTTGCGCTAGTTCCAGGATCATCTTGCCTTGGCTTCGTCTTCCTTCTGTCAGTGGCTGCCGGCACAACTCTCGACTCCCTTTTGTCGGTTCGTAGCATAGCCTGCCCGGGGTCATCAGCTGTTGTGCCGCGATACGCCCGCACTGACTCAGTGCTGCCTTTGCGAAGTCACGGACGTCCAGGAGCTACCTTTCCGGTATGCGGAATGACATGTTTCGATTCATTTGCCTTCGTTCCAGATAGCGTGCACTCTGGGTCTTCTCCTCTCATGAGAAGCTCAGCAAGATCCGGGCTAGTTGTTTTTGCACTGGACTCTTTGCATTCGGGGCTTCTGCTTTCGCCGCGAAGCCATGTCGGATCAGAACTGACTGCTCCTGCATTGGGGTTGACCTGCCTTGACTCCGTGTCCTCGCCGTCAGCCACTGCAACTACTCTTCTTGAGCCATCTGCATCTCCTCACAGCTTCGCATGCTCGGGCTTGAGCACTCCGGTTTTGGGCTTCTCTCATCTGGGCTTCTTCGTGCCTTTGAGAGCCATGGGAAGGCTCGGGGCTTTGGCTTCGGCCATTGGCTTAAGCCGCATGGGTTTAGTTTCCTTGCTTCTAGTCGTGGATTATGTGAATGTTGAGCTGCCCTCGTTTATGCAAAGCTTTGCGCGGCTAGGCTTGGCATCGTTGGCTACGGACCGCACTCATTCTGGCTTACCTTCGGCCTTACGAGCACTCTCTCGTCCAGACCTGGCTGCATCAGTACTCGACTCTCTTCACATGGGATTCTCTGCATCATCCCAAAGTGCACTCCGCTGTGACCCAACATCATCTGTGCTGGGCCTGTCCTGCCCGGGCTTCGTTTCCCCGCTGCCTGCAGCAGACGTTGCGCGGCCAGACCTTCCTTCGCTGTCAAGGAGCGTTGGGAGAACGGAAGTTGCTGTTTTTGTGCTTGCTTTTTCACACGTTGGTCCTGTACCGACTCTTAGGAGTTTTGGCTGTCTCGAACTGGCGGCATCGGTCTTTGGCTTGGGCAGGATGGGGCCGACTTTACCAGCTTCAGATATGGTCATGCTTGGCAGCTCGCCATCGCCGCGATCCTTCTCTCATTCAGGATCCGCGGCTTCTGTCCTTGGGTTCGCCCACGCCGGTCCAGCCGCATTGTCGCGAAGCTTTGCCTGCGTGGGCTTTTCCTCTTTGGCCTCTGGCATCACCTGCTTGGGCTTTCCCGTGCTAGTGTCGGATTCGGTGCACTTGGATCCGGTCTTGTCTCCACGATCTTGCAGCTAACTTGGCACAGCGCTACCAGCATCGGACTATTTGCGCATGGGTTTCTCGGTGTTTCTGCGAAGCCACCAGCGGGCAGGAGCTGCCCTATTCGCACCCGGTGGGGCTCGAATGGATTCCTCTGTGCCAACCCTTGAGTCTTGTCATCTTGACATGCCTTTGTCACCCCGCAGCTTAGCTCGGGTTGACTTCTTGACGTTGGTCTTGGATTTGCTGTACATGGGCTCGCCAATGTCGCTGAGAAGCTTTTCACACCTGGGCCTCACGCCTTCCATCTTCGGGCTGGCTCGTTCGGGCTTGGTCTCCCTGCTGCCCGCCATCAGCGTCGCCAAGTTGGGCTCCCCACCGCCCCTGCAATCGCGCGGCTACGCCGGCTTCGCATCACCCGCACCTGACTCCCTTGCTCTAGGTTTCCTGCTGTCGCTGCAAAGTCCTGCGCGCACGAGCTCCTCTCTTCCAGTCTTCGGAACGTCATGTTCTGACCTTCTACCTTCGGCACTGGACTTCTCGAGTCCCGGGTTCGTGATGTTTCTGAGGTCCATGTCCCAGCCTGGCCTTTCCCTTTTGGTGCTGGACCTTCTTCATCCAGACCCGCCCCTCTCGTCGCAGTCCCCTGCCTGCTCTGGATTGGTGGCTTTGGCGTTGAGTTGCACACAACCCGAAGCATCCTTGTTGACCTTGGACCCTGCACAAACGGGCCCTTCAACTTCAGCTCGAAGTCGGGGGCATTCGGGCCTTGCTGTGCCGACCTTTGACTTGCTGAGGCCTGGGTCAGCGCCCTTTCTTCGGAGCTACAAACGTTGCGGCTCGACTCTCTTCGTCTTTGGCATCGCCCGGTCGGGCTCTGTGTTCTTCCTGCCCGTGACCGAGACAAGCCACCTGGGAAGCGTCCCGCCACTGCGATCCTGCGCGCGCCTTGAATCTGCTGTTCCGGCCTTTGATTCTCTGCAGCTCGGCTTTTCTTTGTCGTTGCGTTCTGTGTCAAAGTCCGGCTCTGTTGTGTTTGCCTTCGGAGCCGGACGATGTGGCCTCTCAGCGTCAGTCCTCGATTTCGCACACTTAGGGCTCCTTCTGCCCTTGAGGTCGCATGCCAGGCTCGGGTCCTTCTTGTCGGTCTTTGACCTTCTGATGCCGGGCTTTCCGACGCCCATGCAAACGTTTGCAAGGACAGGCTCTTCTTCGCTGGCTTCCGGCAAGTTCAGTTCCGGGCCAAGTAGCATCCCAGTCTTGGGTTATGTCCACTCCGGCCTGTCACCTTCTGCCCAAAGTCCTGTCAGGCTTGATCCTTCGGTGTCTGCTTCCGACTTTCTTACTCCCGGATCTCTCGTGCCACTTCGAGGATGTGCCAGGACAGGTCTTGTGATGCTCGCTGTGGGAAGCGCTCGCTTTGGCCTTTTCCTGTCCGTCTTGGACTGCGTCGAGTCCGGGTCGTCCGCACCCTTCCGAAGCTTCGCTCAAGTGGGATCGGTCTTGCCGGCTTTGGACTTCTTGTGCCTTGATTCGGTGTCGTCGCCCCGAAACTTTGCTCGTTTGGGACTCTCCTCGTCTGCCCCAGGGGTGGCGAGATTGGGGCCGAGCTTTCTGGTTCCGAGCTGTGTTCCCCTGGACTTGTCTCCTTCCTTGAGATCCTGTTCTCGTCCGGGCTCTGCGGCACCTGCGCCCAGCTTTGGGCATCCCGGCAGCCCGCTCTTGTCAAAGAGCTTCAATTGCTTTGACCCGATTATTTTAGTGGTGGGTGTAAGCTGCCCAGAAGCTTTGCTTCCTGCCTCGGGTTTCGCCAAACCTGGTCTCCTCCTATCCTTGCGAGGTTTCGCTCATTTGGGGTCCGCTGCGTTTGTCCTGAACCTCGCGCATGTGGGACTCGCAGTGTTCCTGAAGCGGCACTCAAGGACAGGCTCCATTCCGTCACTTTCTGGTAAGACTTGGTCGGGCTTCTCACTCTTTGTTCCTGGCTCTGCATTCTTGGAGCTGTCCACGTTTTCGCGGAGTTGCTCCTGAGCAGGACCGGCTGTGCTGGTGCCAAATCCTGCTCACATGGAGTCTTCGATGTTGCTTCGCACTTCAGCTCGTTCCGGCTCGATGGCATCTGTCTTTGGTGTCAGTTGCTTGGGCTTGGTTCTTTCTGCCCTCGGCGTGACCCACCTAGGGCTCCTCTCGCTGTTGCGTAGCTCTGCATGTGTAAGCTTAGCCTTGTCTGCCTCACAGTTCGCCCATCTGGGGAGCTTCACATTACCCAGGTGCTCAGCGCATTTGGAGCCTGCTGTGCTTGCCGTCGGCTTATCTTGATTTGGTGCATTGATGTTAGCCCTGAGCCACTGTCAACTTGGACCCCCTCTGTCACCGCAAAGCTTCGTGTGCACTGGCTCATCAATGGCAGCCTTAAACGCGGCGATTACGGGCTTCCCGTTGTTTCTTCGCGCTCTCTCCAGGCTTGACCTATTCCTGCCAGCAGTGGACCTCTTGCAGCTGGGCTTTGCCCTTTTGGTTCACAGCTTCGCCAGATGCGGTCCAGCTTCGTTGATGACAAACTACTGCCGTGCTGGATCATCCCTGTTGCCTCGGCAGTACCTTCGCACAGGATTCTTGGCTCTGGCCGCAGGCTTGGCGCGCGCTGGCTTGGTGTTCAGCCTTTCAGTGGTTAACACGGTTCACCTCGACTTGCTCATGCCATTACAAAGCCTTGCTTGCCTTGACCCTACGCTCTCGGCATCGAGGGAAACTCACCCAGAACCATCAACTCCCTCGCAAAGCCTATCGCGTGTGGCGTCTTCTCTCTCAGCTGCTTCATTTGTCAAAGTGGACTCCCTTATTCCATTGCGACAGTTTGCCTGATACAGCCCGTCTACGCCGACTCTGGGAATCGCATGTTCAGAATTTATCCTGCCAGCTTTGGGAAGCACAGCCTCGGGCACATCACCGCTTCTTCGCAGCCTCTCGCATGCTGAAATAGGGTCATCTGCCTGTAGCTTTGCAATGGCCGACTTCCCTATGCTCGCTAGAAACCTCGCGCGTGCAGGCATCTCATCCTTCGTGGCAGGAATGTCGCGAGTCGGCTCCGTGTTTGTTTTGCCTGTGATTGCTGAAGCACACTTGGAAGCCGTGTCGTTGCTGCAGTCTTCTTTGCGATCGGAAGCCTCTGCCCTGGCCTTGGGCTACTGCCGCCTGGGTTTCTCCATGCCTCTCAGAAGCCACAGTCAGCTCAGCCCTGTTCTGTTCGCTATGAGAGTGGCCAGCTCGGGCCCCGCAATTCCTTCGAGGCAGTCCGCTTGTGTCAGTTCCCTGGTGCCAGCTTTGGGGATGTTCCGCTTGGAGTCTTCAGTATCAGTGCCGGATCACGCAAATCTCGGGTTGTGTCTCCTTATCCGCAGCTCCGCACGTCCTGGCTTTTCGCTGCCAGTGCCCAGCCCCTGTGAAATGAGCTCGTCGTCTCTTATACGAGGATATTCGAGGTTGGGCTCCAATTTGCCAACTACGGGCTTGTTCTGTGCCGGATCTGTGTCCTCTCCCTTTGTGACTGAGATGGCGGTGCTTGACCTATCACTTTCCCTGAGAAGTCGTGCCAGGCTTGGCTCTCTCTTGCCAGTCCCGAGGTCCGTCCGATGTGGGTTTTCACTTCTTTTGAGAAACCCTGCTTGCCCTAGCTCTCCTGCGCTTCTCTTGGGAATGGCTCGCGCAGACTTCCTCTCCTCGCCTTCTGTGGCGGACGTAGCGAACATGGCCCCTTCGCCATTTACCAGGTCCCTTGCACGATTCGACCCGTCCCTGCTTGTACCTCAAAGCTCACTCTTAAACTCGCCTGTGTTGGTGCGGCAATACACACGCTTGGAACTGATTGTGTTTGCATCTGGCCTCTCATGGCTGGGGGCTTCACCACTTGCTTCGGGTGAGGCTAAGTCGGGTCTGCTGCCGCTTCCACATTCCCCCGCGCGCACGGAAGCTGCTGCCTTGGTGTCCGGCTTTTCTCACGTAGGCTTGGCTCTTTTCTCGCGGAGCCTTGGCTGCTTAGGGCCGCCCGTTCTTGTGTTCGGCCTAACGCGCGCTGGCTTGGTCTCCTCGCTGCCGGTGGTTGCCATGGCAGAGCCGGGGCCGCTGTTGCCTCCACGAAGCTCGGCATGTCCAGAGTTCTTCGTGTCGGTGCCCGGTCTTGCACAAATTGACTTTAGCTCGCCGTCGCGTGGATGTTCCCGCGTTGAGCCAGAGACTCCTGTGCCGGACTACTTGCGCCTAGATCCGTCGCTGTCATCACGCAGCTTCTTGCAACTGGGCTTCTTCATGTCCGTGATGGGGAAAGCAGCTTCGGGCTCGTCTTCGTCAACGTCAGACTGGTCATCCTTGAGCGCCCTCTTGTCGCCGCGATCCTCTGGCAGACTAGGCTCCAGTGTTTTGGTCTCGAGGTTCACGTCAGTCGACTCGTCCGTGTCAATGCGAGCTGTGGCACATCTTGGTCTTTCAGCTCCAGCCGCCGGCATCGCCCGAGTTGACTCTGTCTTCTTCATGTTTGTTCTGGACCTTCTCCATCTCGAACCGTTCCTTTCCGTTCGTGTTTCTGCTCATCCAGGCCCACCAGTGTTCATTATGAACCATGCCCGCCTTGAGTTGTTGATGCTGCTTCGCTCCTTCGCACATGGTGGCTTGGCTTTGCTTGCCGTTGGCTTGGCCTGAGCTGATCCTGTTTTCTCCCTACCAGTAGCAAGCACAGCTTCCTTGGGAAGTTCCCCCCTGGTCAGAAGCCTTGCCTGCTTTGAAGCTTCAGCTTCTTGCTATGATTATTCGGCGATTGGCTCGGCCGTTCCTATGAGGCAGTCTGCAAGGGTGGGCTTTCTGTTGCCTGCCTTTGGCGGAGTATGTTTAGATGCATCTCCATTTCTTCTGGACTACGTGATGATTGGTTTGCCAACGCCTGCGCGCAGCTTCTGCAAACCCGAATCAGTTGTTCCTGCTCTTGCCTTTGGCAGCCCAGGCTTTCCCATGTCGCCTCGAACACTTTCACAACTGGATCTGGCAGCTTCTGCTGCAGGCCTCAGCCGCATTGGGTTAGTGTTCTTACTGTCAGTTGTCGCCTCGGCACACCTGGGCCTCCCCTTGTCCGCGCAAAGCCCTGCAAGGCTAGGTTCAGGCATGCCGGCCGTTAGATGTGCTGCGATCGGCTCGCCTCTGTCAGCACGAAACCACGCACGTCCCGAGGCCTTTGCATCCACCGTGGGACTGGCCAGGGCAGGCTTTGTTTCCTCTTTGCCAGCCATCAGTCACGGTCTCCTGGGCCCTTTGATGTCACTCCGCAGCGCCGGTCGTTCGGGTCTCACGGCATTTGCCATGGGCTTTGTGCATTTCGAATTTTCCACGTCCTTCAGATCCATGGCTCGCTTGGGCTTCGCCACTCCAACTCATGATATGGAAAGCGTAGACCTGACCTTGCCGTCACGCGGCTCTACCCGATCAGGTCTCGCTTCTCTTGTGCTGGGCTTGGGTCGCACAGGCCCGTGTTTCAGCTTGCCGATAGCTGAAGCGAGTTGGCCCGGCTTCACGTCATCAACAAGGTGCGGGTAGTGGGCTGTTGTCGGCTTAGGGAGTAAAGGACAGCAGTAGGTCTTTGGGTTGCCTGACAGACTTCACGTACGGTGCGCATGAAAACTGCGGTTTGAGGTTTCAACCACAATCCCCCTGGAAGGAGCCCTGGATGTGCAGATCCCATTGCATCAGTCTCGAGCTGCGGCACTGTGGGCTCGGCTGTGCTGTTGCGAAGTCCTTCTCGACTGGGCGCCGTGGTTTCGGTCTGCGCGTCCGGAGCTGAGATCAAACCTGTCATAAGAAAAGCTCGAACACTCCCAAAGACAAGCCAGGTTTGCGCATCTCGAATCCCCATCGTCGCTGCGAGAAACGGCTCGACTGGGTTTTTTGGTGCTTCTCTCTGGCTGTGCAGAGCTCAGAATGACTGGGCTTCGGAGGCATATGTTCGGAGTTAACGAGACTGAGGTGCACGTGTGGGCTTGGTGTTCAGCTTGTCGGTCACCGCAGCAAGCCAACTGGGATCCTTGCTGCTTCTGCAAAGCCCAGCTGCTCGGCCAAATCCTGCTCTGTCGGCTTTTGGCTTGTTTTTTGGGGCTCGTCTGGGAGGTGTTTTGAGTTCAAGTGAAATTAGAGGTGTATCCCATGAAGGGCACGGCATGTCGAGGCGCGCCTCGGCTCTGCAATGGCCCGGAGCACAGTGACAGCGCAGAGGAACGTGTCTTTCCGGATGTTTCTTGAGCAGAGACTGGTGTAGCTTGGCCCACCAAGTCCGCGCTTGATTATCTCAAGCTTGACTTCCCATTGCCGAGACCTCGGATGTGCCCGGAGGGCAAGGACACTCATTACATGAAGCACAGTCGCATCTGGGAGCCGCAACCTGCCCAAGGTCAATGAGATCCCCTTTGTGACTTGGCAGCCCCATGCTGGCTGTTGGTCGGGGGCTGAGTGATGGCTTGGCTTCCCGGACTCATGCAAAAGCAGTGGCATCAAGCTTGGCTTTTGCAGCATCAGTGTCGAGAGTACCTAAACCCTCCCCGACAAGGTTGGGCCCTCTGGTTATCTAGTTTCCGACCCACAAGACGAACCGAGACTTGACTTTTTCAAGTGCAGAGGTGCTGCTTGCCCTGGCCTGGCGTCGCTGGCACTTGGCGCTGCCTGCCTTGGCCTCCTGCTTCCTCTCAGGAGCTCCGATCTCTGGGATATGGGGCTTTCTTCACATCTGGGGTACCTTATTCATGCCTCCATTTCCTTAGGACCCAACCATGTCGGGTGCTTCAAGACTGCCCCTTATTTTCTGAAGCTCCCCTCATACTCTGAAGCCCTGCAAACCAGATGAGCCTCGGCATCTGGCCTGGGCGTGCGGAAGCTAACATGGCCCCAAATGCCACTATTAGGCCCTCATCAAGTCCATTGTTTGAAGACGTGTTCGGGTCTGCCAGGAGCCTCGGCCACCCAGGAAGCTTGCTGCTCTTACTTGACAGCGGAAATCCCGGCAGTGCCATGCCCGTGCGGAGTTCTGCACGCTCAGACTCCCCTGCACTGACTTACAGCATTTCTCGGACGGGACTCGTGTTCCCGCTTTCTGTGACAGAGACGGCAACTCCAGGCCTCCTCTCGTTGCCTCGCAGCTCTGCCCGAGTCGCTTTCGCAGTCTTTGTTTGTGGCTACAAGGAGGTAGGCTCTTTGCTGCCTCTGCAAAGCATGTCGTAACCTGAAGTTGCGACTCTGACTTGTGGCCTGGCATGCGTGGGTTCGATCTTCTCCCTGCTCGTCGTTGAAGCGACCCGTCCCGGACCTTCGCTTCCCCTCCGCTCCGTTTCCCGTCTGGGCTTTGTACCTTCGGCCCTGGGCTCCGCTCACTCGGACTCTTCGTCTCTTCCGCGGAGCTTGGCGTGCTTGGGAAGCGCGGTGCCGGTCTCCGGGGCGGCGCGCTTGGGTTCCTTGGCCTCGGCGCCGGGCTGTGGGTTGCCAGGCTCCTTGATGCTTCTCCGGTCTCCTGCACGGCTGGCTGCGTTGGCTTCAGCGTCAAGCTTCTCTCATCTAGGCTTGCCGGTGCCTTCGAGACAACCCTCAAGGTCAGAAAGCTCTGTTTCAGCTTTGGGCCTGTCCTGCGCCGGAAGTGTCTCCTCTCTGCCTGTTGTGGAGTGTGCCCAACCTGGCTTTAGCACGTTCTTGCGAAGCCTCTCCAAACCTGGCTCAGCCGTGTCCACACCTGGTCTTGGCGACTTCGGTTTCCTGACATCTGCACGCAGCTCTGTGAGACTTGATCTGTTTGCGCCAGTCGTGGGCATTGCAAGGATAGGCTTTGTTTTCCCCCTGTTGCTGGCGGAGATGGCAACGCTGGGCTTGTCAGCACTGCTGCAAAGCTCCGCTTGGTCAGGATCTTCAGTTTCAGCACTTGCCCTCGCAAAAGTCGGGCCTCCCCCGCCGCCACACAGCCTCGCTCAACTGGAGCTGTCACCCCTGGCCACGAGCAGTTCGCGCTTGGGCTTCATAATGCCATTGCCGGATTGCGCATCCATCGGTTTGTCCTTTTTGCTCCGATCCTTTGCATGCATTGGGCCCGCGCTGCCAGCATCGGGCTTTGCCCATGTCGCTCCGTCGATGTCGACCCACAGCTATGTGCGTTTGGAGAGCCTGCCGCTCATGGTCGGAATTTCGCGAGCAGACTTCGTTTCCTCCCTGTCCGTGGCTTCAAGCACGCTCCTTGGCACATTCCTTCCACCGCAAAGTCTGGGTAGACTTGGAAGTGCAGCGCCAGCTCTGAGGCTTGCCCACTCAGGACCCTGCATGTCTTCGAAGAGCATGGGCTGCCTTGACCCGGTCGTATCCGTTTTCGGGGTGTCTCGGGCAGGCAGCGTCTTCTCCCTCCCAGTTGTGGCTTTAATGAACTTGGGCTCGTCCCCGTTTGCGAGAGCACGCGCGTGCTTGGGATTCTTCCTGCTTGCATCGGACTACCTCGCAATGGGCTCGTCCCTGTTCGCAAGGCACCTTTCTCGCCTTGGCTTCTCAACACTAGCCTCTGGCAAACTACGCTCGGAAATCATGTCGCCGGCATTAGGCAGCGCTCACTGCGACTCTTCACTTCCCTCGCACAGCTGCTCGTGGCCGGGGTCCTTTCCGATTGCCTTTTGTGCTGCAAGGTCAGGGTTGCCATCACTTCTTCGCAGCTCCGGGCGCCTTGAAGTCTCTGCTTCTGTACCCGGGCTGAGCCGAGCTGGTTTCGTATTCTTACTGCCTGTCGCTAGCAGAGTCGCACTAGAGCCATTGCTGCCACCACGAAGCCTTGCACGACTAAGCTCGGCCGTGTTGGCTCCTGGGTATTTGCACTTCGGACCAAGTCTTCCAATGCAAAGTTCCGGAAGGCTCGACTCGGCAGCTTTTGCTTCGGGCTTCTCACATCCGGGTCCCTTAACGCTGCTTCGAAGCCTGAGCCGTGCCGGGTCCTTGGTGCTCGTGTCTGGGCTGGCTTGTATGGGAGTAGCTGTTCCAGTGCTCGGTTGCGCACACCTGGGCTTGCTGACACTCCTCCGTAGCTTCATGCATGCAGACTTTATGGCTCCATCTGTGGACTTTGGACAGACAGGTTCTTGCGTTTCTACCAGAAGTTCTGCACGCACGGATGCCCCGGCCTTGCCGATGGGATCAAGCCGCCTGGGGCTCGTATTCGCACTTCTGGTCGTGGAAGCGACGCGTCCTGAGCCCTCGCTGCTGCCCAAAAGTCTTGCCTGCCTGGGCCCTGCTGTTCCTGCATCCGGCGCTGCGAATTCAGGTTCTTTGCTCCTGATCAGAGGCCTTGTGAGGTGTGGCTCCATGCCACCACTCCTGGGGGTTGCCAAGTCTGATTATGCCTACTCCCTGTTCGTGCTGGGGGTTACTATTCCTGCATCCTCACTCTTTGTGCGCAGCCATGTGCGAATGGACTTTGCGTTACCTGTTCCGGGCTTCGCACACCTTGGGTCAAGCGTGCTGATGCGGCACTTTGCACGTTTGGGCTTTTCAGCGCCTGCATCTGGCATGTCTTGGTTGGGAGCATCCTTGCCAGTTCCTGGCAGCTCCGGTGCCGGTTCCCCGCTTCCTTTGCGGTCTTTCAGCCGGGCAGGACCTGCCTTGCCGGTTCCAAATCTCGCGACCTGTGGTTTCTCACCGCCACCACAACATCCCAGCCGTTCCGGTTTCAGCGTCCCCTTGGTTGGCTTGGCTCGAACGGGCTCCGTTTTCCTGCTGCCCGCAGCTGACGCGACATGTCCGGGCACGGCCTCGCTGCTGAGAAGCTCTGCCTGCACGGGCTCCGCGGTGTCGGTCCTTGGCTGCACACACCTAGGCTCGCTACTTCCCTCGCGTTCGCCTGGACGACTCGACCTACTGTCGTCGATGGTGGGACTGGTTCGTGCTGGCTTCGTGTCCTCGCTGTTGGCGCCTGGAAATGCCAATCCAGGTCCCACACTGTCCATCAGAAGCTTCAGCAAGACAGGCTTCTTTGTGCTCGCGCTTTTCTGTAGCTCTGCAGGCTTGGCTTTGTCTCCAAGAACTCTTGCACACATCAGCAGCTCGGTGTCCGCATGCGGCCTTGCACGAATGGAAGTCTTGCTGTCGGTGTCAGGCAGCGCACATTCAGGTGTCTTCTTGTCGCTCCGTAGCCTCTCTCGGGCGGGCTTTGCAGTCTTTCCTTTGCAGTTTAGTCACGTTGACTTCGCTGCGTCTCTCCAAAGCTCCTCCTGTGTAGGCTTGGCGGCTCTGGCATTTGGCATGGGCCGCACAGGCTCAGTGTCCTTTCTGCCGGTGGCGAGCACCGCACAACCTGACGCCTTCTTGTTGTCACGGTCATCCAGCAGAGTCGGCTCAATGTCATTAGCTCTTGACTTCTTGCAGCCTGGTCTTGCTCTACCTCTTCGTAGCCATTCTCGTCTTGAGCCCATGATTCCTCCGTCTGGTCTGGGATGCTGTGGCTTCGTATCCTCTCCTTCTGTGACTGAGAGCACGACTTCGGGACCATCCCCGTCACTACATTCATTCGTCCGAGCGGGAGCAGTTCTGCTGGCAATGAAGCCCAGTCACCTTGGCAGTTCCTTGCCTCCGCGAAGCCCTGCTTGGGCAGATGCCGCTGTTGTGGTTTGCGGAGTTTCTCGACCGGCAGCCCTTCCTTCGGCCTCAGGTTCTGCTGGAACGGGTTCCTCTTCACTGCCCAAAAGCCTTGCCTGGACAGAATCAGTTTTGTTGGCCTTTGGCATGCAGCATTTGGGGTCTCTCCTGTCTCCGAGAGAGCGCGGCCAACTTGGTCCGGTCGTGTCTGCAACAGGACTGGCTCGTGCCGGCTTCGTGTTCCTGCTATCTGCCGCAGCCACAAGCAATCCGGGCTTTTCGCTTTTCGCCCGAAGCTCTGCATGCGTTGGCAGCTTCCTGCCAGCGTGCCAATTCGCGCGCACTGGATTCTCTACGTTCATGCGGATGTCTGCCTGTTCGGGTAGCGCTGCGCTGGCTTCCGGTGCTGCGTGCCCGGGAGTTCTGCTTCTCGTGCTCGGCAAGGCGGTGCTTGGAAGTCCGCTGTCCTTGCGATCACCCACCTGCCTGGGCTTCGCGTCATCCGTCTCGCGTTTCTCGGACTCCGGCTCTTTCGTGCCCTTGCATGCACTTTCTCGTGTGGGTCCGACTGCCTTCACATCCGGCCTGGCGCGAGCTGGGCCTGCATCCCCACTTCCAGTGACAGAGGCGACGAAACCCGACCTGCCACTTTCTCTGAGAAGTTGCAGTCAGCTCGGTTTCAGCTCATCAGCCTTTTGCTTCTCACATACAGATCCCTCGCTCTCTCTGCAGCAGCATGCCCGTGTTGGCTTCACTGTTTTCGTGTTTGGCTTGTCTTGGGCCGGTCCAGTGTTCGCTTTGTCGGCAGTTGACTGTGCCCATTTGGGCTCCTTCTTGTTTCCGCGAAGCGCAGCTTGACTAGGACTTCCCGTGTCAGTCTCCGGCGCGACTGGCCCGGGGTCTGTGTTGTCGCTAAGATCCTTTGGGCGACCTGGCTCGCTTGCTTCGCCTTTGGGTTTAAGCTGCGCAGGCTCTGTTTCCCCGCTGCTATTGGTGGACAACGCATGCCCTGACTTTCCTGCATCACTGCACTCTCTTGCCCACCTCGAACTAATCGTTTTGGTGCTTGGGTTCAGCGAGTCGGAGCCTTTCGTGCCTTCGCAGTCCCTCGCACGCCTGGGCTTTTTGGCGCTTGCTTGTGGGCTGGCACGGTCGGGCAGCCTGCCTTTTGTCCCGGGACATTCGAGTCCTGGATTCCCAACTTCCGTGCGGTCACATGGTCGGCCAGGTTCCTTTGCCTTTGTGCCGAGCTTCGCGAAGTCAGGCCCTCCGCCCTCTTTGCGCGAGCTTGCTCGACTGGAGGCCTCTGCCTTGATCTTTGGCATCTCGCGTGTCGGGTCGGTCTTCTTTCTGCTGGTCGTGGACAGGGCTCAGCTTGGCTTTCTGCCACTGTTGCGCTCTTCGGCCAGAGTCGACCTGTTTCTGTTAGCATCGAGCTCCGCTACTCCGGGCTTTTTTGTTTCCTCGCAAAGTCCTGCCCGCCTTGGCCCAGCAACATTCGTTCCGGCTTGCAGTAGCTCTGGGCCGCCGCCGCCATTGAGAGGACCTGCTCAGCTAGGCCTTACGATGTTCGTGTCCGGAATCGCAAGGTTGGGGCCGATCTTCTTCCTGCCAGTTGTGGCCCTTGCCCACTTGGGCTTCTCACTGCCTTGCCGATCCTTTGCTCGCGTGGGGCCAGCCTTCTTCGTTTGTGCTTCCAGTCACCTCGGGTTTCTTGCATCTTCGAGGTCCCTTGCGCAACTTGATGTCCCCGTTCCGGTGCCGATAGTCTCTCACCCGGGTCTCTCCATACCCTCAAGATCCTTTGGCCGAGCGGGAAGCCTTGTGTCGGTGTTCGGAGTTTCCAGGGTGGGGTCGGTCTCCCCACCGTCGGCCTCGGGCCTCCTCCAACTCGGATCCTCCGCCTCGGCGAGGGCCATGGCGCGCCCGGGCCCGTCGCCGTTGGTTGCGGACTTCTTGTCTCCGGGCAGCTTGACATCCTCAAGGAGCCTCGCCTGCACTGGCCCCACCTCGTTGCCACCGGATTGTGGGAAAGTTGGGTTCCCGCTGCCGCTGCATGGACTCGCTTGGCCAGGCTCTCCGTCAGTGCCCTGGGGCATTTCCAGAGTTGGACCCGTGTTCTCGTCGTCCGCAGCTGACAAAGTGCAATCGGGATTTCTTTCGTCGCTTCGGAGCCTCTCACGATCAGGCTTCTCACTCTTTGCTTTGTGCATGGGCGACCCGGAAAGCTCCGCTTTACTCCGATGCTTTGCTTAAACCGGTGCGCCGGCCTCTGCTTGTGGTCTCTCCAGGTCAGGCCCCCTTCTTGCGGTCCTGGGCTGTGCGCATATGGGATTTGCACCGTTCCTTCGAAGCCCCTCACGCACCGGCCCCGCTGCACCTGCACTTATGGGCTCGCAGCTTGACTCCTCCCTTTTGCTGCAACAATTCGGTCGCCCAGGCTCTTTGGCGTTGCCTTTCGGATTGGCACGAGTTGACTCTGTTTTCCCGCTGTCTGTCGCGGCGGCTACTCACCCCGAAGTCCCTTTGCCACTGCAGTCCTGTGCTTGCTTGGGCCCAGCTGCGCCAGTCCCGCGTTCTGCGGAGTTGGAATCGTCCGCGTTGCCCAGGAGCTTTGCACAACTTGATCTCGGTGTGTCTACCTCTGGCGTAGGCCGCTCAGATGTCCTCCTTCCAGCCCTGTCCAGCACCAACCTGGGCTCCGCCTCGTTTCCTCGCTCACCTGGTCGACTCGGCCTTCTGATGTTGGCAACGAACCCTGTGGATTCAGGCTCTTTCGTTCTACTGCGATCCTTTGCGCAGCTCGGCCTCACTGCATTTCTGATGGGCTTGAGTTGCGCCGGCTTCGTGTTCCCGCTACCTGTAGTGGAGAGGGTGTGCCCGGGTAGCGTGTCGCTTCCACGGAGCCCTGCCAGGCCAGGCGCTTCAGTCTTCGCCTTGCGCGCTACGTCGCCGGGATCTTCGTCGCCTCTCCGGAGCTCCGGACACACTGGACTTGCGGCGCTTGTATCCGGCAAAGCCTGTTTGGACATCTTTCTGTTTGCATCGGGAGTTTCAGGACCTGGTCCAAGCCTGTCTCTGCACAGCCTCTCAAGGTCAGGCTCTGCAGCGCTCGTGCCTGGAATGTCTCACATAGGATCCAGCATGTCCTTGCGACAACCTGCAAGACCCGAAGTTTTGGCATCCATCTGCGGCCTTGCCTGCCTTGAAGCTCCAGTGTTGGTCCTCGCCGAAGGTCATTCGGGCCCTTCGACTCCTTTGCGAAGCCTCGCGTAGCCGAGCCTGCCCGTGTTTCTGCTGGGCTACATCGAGTTTGATCCAACTCCGCTTCCACGAAGCCATGCTCGTTCAGGCAGCGTCGTGCTTGTGTCGGACTTCTCTTTGACGGGCTCCTTGCTGCTGCTGCGCAGCTTTTCATGTGCTGCTTCTTCTGTGTTTGTGCTGGGATTAAGCAGGATTGGCTTTGTGTCCTCCCCGCCTGTGGCTAGCACTGCAACGCCTGGTCCGTCGCTTTCGCTTCGTAGCTCCTCGCATGCAGATATGGCTGCTCTGGTGTTGAGCTTTGCTGCTCCGGGATCCTTCATGTTCCTGAGACAGCTTGCAAAGCCAGCGAGCTTTGCGCCGGTTTCGGGTGTTGCTCGCTTGGGATTGCTGATTCCGGCATCAGGTGCTGCACATTCGGGATCATCCTGCAGCTTGCGCACCTTTGCTCGACTCGACTCTGCAGCATTCGCACTTGGCTTCTCGCACGCTGGTTCATCACCTCCGTCAAGAGGTCATGCACACTCTGAGAGCTTTATGTTCACAGAGGGAGTTGTCCGCATCCGCTCTCTTGGTGCGCTGCCAGTGGTGGAAGTTGGACTCCTTGAATCATTGCTTTTGGTGCGAAGCTCCGTTCGAATTGACCCGTCTGCGTCTGCTTTATCGCACAGCCACTTCGACTCTGCAGCTTCGCTTCAAAATCACTTGCGCGGTGGTCTCCTGCTGCCCATCTTTGGCACGGCCGTCCTCGGTCTTGCACTGTTCGTTTCGGATTCTTCGAACCTGGAGTTCGCGTTGAGCGTGCGATCCTACGCGCGACTTGGTCTGGCTATCCCAGTGTGTGCTTTTACGGACACTGGCTCTTCGCTGCTACTGAGGGGGTCGTGCCACGCAGGAAGTGCTGCGCCGATGCCGGGCACAGTTTGTTCGGAAGCAACATTGTCCGTGTGTGGCGCATCCCACCTGGAGTCGCTCGTGTCCCCTCGAAGCTCTGGATGCACTGGTCCAGCAGTGCCGGTTTCTAGGTGTGGGGAACCCGGCTTGTCGATGTTCTTGCGCAGCTCCGGCTGGACGGGCTTGTCAGTATTGGCTTTCGGGCTAGTCAGGACAGGGTCCGTGTCCTCTCCCTTGGTGGTGGACAAGGTGCAATTGGACCCGTCCTTGCCCTTGCAGTCCACGGCCCGTCCGGGATTCCCGGCATTGGCCCTTGAACTTGTGAAGTTCGGCTCTGCTGTGCCTTGTCACAGTTTTGGTCGCACCGGCTTTAGTGCACCTTCCTTTGGTAAGGCATGCCTTGGTCTTTCTCTCCCAGTTCTTGACGCGGTAGAACTCGAGCCCGTGCTGCCTTTCCACAGCCACGCTCGATCAGACTTGGTCCTGTTTCTGCCTGAGCTTGCAGTGATGGGATCATCAGCATCACTGCGCTCTCTCAGCCGCACGAACTCCGCTTTGCTCGCTTGTGGCTTCGCTGGTCTAGGCTTCTTGCTGTCATTGCGACAATCTGCCCAAGCAGAACTGAGTGCCTCGGTGTCCGGCATTTCCCGTCCAGACTTGCTTTTGCTGGCTTCAGGTGCTTCTTCGATGGGATCTTTCCTTCCACCCCGGAGCCTTGCGAGACTCGACCTGCCCATTTCCGTGTTTAGGGAGCAGCACCTGGGGTCGTCAGTTTTCTTGCGAATGCCTGCTTGCTGTGGCAGTGCCGCACCGGCTTCCGGGATGGTTTGGCCAGGGTCCTCGATCTTGCCCCTGTCCGATGCAAGGACAGGCTCGTCGGTGCTCGTGCGAAGTCTTGCAAGAACGGGAGCTGCACCCTTCGTTCCGAACTCCATCTCCCTTGGCTTGTCAACGTCCCCACACTCCTCCGCTCGCATAAGCCCCGTGGTGCTTGTTCCAAGGCTTGTCCACTTGGGGAGCTTTGCACCTTCAAGGAGCTTCAGTCGTGTGGAGCCCGCTGCGCCTGTCCCGAGACTCACGCATTTGGGCTTGCCGTTGTTTTTGCGGCACTTTGGGCGGGCTGGCTCTAGCGTTTCAGTCTTCGGCATTGCGAGGCTCGGAGCTTTGCTGTTTGCTTCGAGCTGTTCCCACCTTGGGCTCACACTGTCTTTGAGGAGCCTCGCCCAAGCTGGGCCGGCGGTTTTCGCGTCGAGAGCATCTGACATCGGCTCTCTCCTGTCCTTGAGGAGCTTCGCTCGCTCAGGGGCGTCGATTCCTACATTTGGAGCGAGCCGCCCGGGGAGTGTCTTCGTGTTGTCGGCTGCTGACACATCTTCACTGGGTTCGTCATTGCCACTTCGTTCATCGGCTCATCTTGGTGCCTCAGCGCCCGCTCTGGCATTTGGGCATACTGACAGTTTGCCATTGCCACAACATCATTCCTGGACAGGATCTGTGGCACCTGTCTGCGGCATGGCATGCTTGGAGGCCCTTGCGTTTGTTCCGGGTAGCTACACACCAGGGTCCTCATCGTTCTTGCGATCCTCGTCCCGATCAGATGCGGTGGCTCTGGTTCCGAGGTGTTGCCACCTTGGCTTCTCGGTTTCCTCACGAAGCTCCGCGTGGTGTGGCAGCTCGCCGCTGGCCTTGAGGATGGCGGATGTGGGTGCTTCGGTCTTTTTGAGAAGCTTTGGTCAAGTTGGTTTCTCCGTTTCCGCGTCCGGTGTGGGGTGGCCGGGCTCGGGGCTGCTACCTTCAGACAGTGTCCAGTTAGGTTCATTGATGTTAGTGCACAGTCCTACATGGCTTGAGTCTGCTGTGCCGGTTCCCCATGCCGCGGCTCCAGAATCCTTCCTGGTTCCCAGATGCTTTGCCCACTTGGGATTCTCCGCCTTGCTTCTGGGCAAGTCGGCTTTGGATGCCTTTTCGTCAGCTCCCGAATGTGTGCACCTTGATCCGTTGCTTCCTCCGCGTAGCCATGCGCGGGTGAGCTTTGCGCTGCTTGCTCTTCGTTTTGCTCACGCGGGGTTTCCAGCTTCTCTCAGGTCTCTTGCCTGCTCAGAGTTTGTGGCGCCTGCTTGTGGTCTTGCCAGCGTGGGCTCTTCGCTGCTTTCACGGTCCTCCGGTTGCCTTGGGCCGGCTGCCTTAGCTTGTGGAATGCTGCGCCTGGGCTTCAGGACGTCAGCTCTGCAAAGCACAACTCCAGGACTTCCACTCTTGACGAAGAGTCTCGCATGCGCAGGGCTTGTGCTTCCTGCTCTGGGATTTGGTCATTCAGGTCCACCGCTTCCTTTGCAATCCTTCACATGCTTGGGCCTTCCGGCTCCGATTTGTGGAAGAGTCGCATGCGACGCTTCAATGCCAGCACTTGATTTTCTTCACTCGGATGTTGCGTCATCTTCGCGGAGTCTCCTCCGCACCGGCCCTGCAGCGCTGGTGCCTGGTTTATTCCACGTCGGTTCTTTGCCCTCGCTGCGGTCCCCGGCATGCCTGGGCCTCCCGGTGTCCGCGACTGGCGTCGGTTGTCCTGATCTTTCCTTGCTCGTCTCAGGCGGATCGAATCCAGAGTCGTTTGTATCTCCCAGGAGCCTCGGCTGTGCAGACTTCTTTCTTCTGCTCCCTGGCTTTTGCCATGCCGAAAGTTCCCTTCCGCTCCGTAGCCTCGCACGTGTGGGCCTTGTGGCTCTGGTGCTGAAAATGACGGCGCTGGAGCTATCGCTGCCACCAAGAAGCCTTGCTTGAACAGACTTAGTTGTGTTTGTATTGCAGGGCGGGAAGTCGGGCTTTCTGCTGCCCTTACACTCTCTCGCCCGCATTGGATCCTTTGTACCATCATCCGGCATATCTCGAATGGGCACATTCATTTTCGTATTGGGCTCGAGTCACCTAGGTGTCTCGGTGCCCTTGCACTCCTTCGCATGTCCCGAGCCGTTGACGACAACTCCAGACGCAGGGCACCCGGAACCACCGATGCTTCTGCAAAGCCTCTCTTGCCTTGAATTTCTAGTGCTCATGTCCGGGACGGTGTGGTCAGGTTTCCTTTGTTCATTGTTCGTCGTTGGTATCTTCACATTGGAGCTGCCCTTGCTTCTGCGCAGCACTGCTAAGCTCGGAGCCTTCATGCCTGCCCCCGGATTTGCGCACGCCGGCCTCGTGATGCCCTCGAGAAGCTTTAAGTAACTAGATGCCGTTGTTTCCGCACTCGGCGTGTCGTGCCCCGACACAGCTATGTTGGTTCCCGAAGGCGTCACTTTGGAATCGTCGCCTTTTCTGCGGAGCTACTCCAGGATGGATGCAGCGGTACCCGCTCTGGGCCTCAGTAGGCCGGACTCTTCCATCTCACCACGGTCCCTTGCGCATCCGGGCTTGCCTGCCTTGGCAATAAACCCTGCACACCTGGGCATGCTGGTGTCGCTTCAAAGCTCTTCCTAAGCAGAATTTGTCGTGCTGTTGGTCGGACTTGCCTGCCTCGGGCCATGTCTACCTGCACTGGAAAGAGTAACTGTAGAATCCTTACCTTTCACCCGAAGCTTCGCACGGGTGGAGCTGGCACCGCCTGCATTGTGTGCATCGGGACCTGGAAGCTCGCCGTTTCTACGCAGCTCTTCGCGTTCGGGAGCTGGGGCGCTGCTGTTCAGTACTGCCCGGACGGGTTCCTGTTTGCTGGCTGCGGACGCCGGATGCACGGCTTCCATTCCGTCCACTAGGAGCCTTGCAAGGGTGGACTTTGCAGTGTTCGCGTTGAGTCTTGCTCATTACGAGCCTGTGTTGCCTCCCCGGAGCTCTTCCCGGCTTGATTCGGCGGTGCTCGCCATGGGCTTTTGCCATATTGGCCTTTCGCCCTCGACTCGAGACTACGCCCGGCTTGGCCTTGCTGTTTCTTTGTGCGGTTTCGGCTGGTTGGGTTTGCCGCCCTCGGCCTTGGACAGATCTTCCTTAGGCCTCTCCCCGCTCTCAAAGAGCATGGCCAGGCCCGGTTTCGCAGCCCTTATCCTGAGATCCAGCAGCACGGACCTTTCAGTTTCTCTTCGCTCCTCTGCACACTTGGGGCCTATCGTTTCTGTGCTGAATTTTGCGGCTCTAGGCTCCTTGGCATCGCTCCATGCTCTCTCACGTCCGGGTCTGTTGGTGCCAGCCTCTTCCATTTCACGCCTTGGCTTCAGCCTCCTTGTCTTGGGCGCATCGAACATCGGTAGCTCCATTTCCCTGAGATCGCTTGCATGGCTGGGTCCGGCGGCTTTTGCTTCGAGAGCAGGAGGGCTGGGTAGCCTCTTGCCACTGAGAAGCTTCGCACACATCGAAAGCTTTGTGTCATGTCTGGGCGAGGTGCGCTTAGGTAGCGGGTCGTCGGCGGTCGGCTGTAGTCATCTCGAGACCTTGTCATCTCCTCACAGCTCTGCGCACATGGACTTCGTTGTTTTGGTCTTAAGAGCAACAGGACTCGGCTCCTTGCTACTTCTGAGATCTTTTGGACATCTGGGTTCTGCGCCGCTGGCACTCAACTTCGGCCATGCTGGCCCACCTCTGCCATCAAGAGAGCTTGCCCGTGCAGGCTTTTCAGTCTCTGTCAGTGGCCTGTCCAGGTGTGGCTCCACGTCTCCTGCATCGGACCCTTTGTTCACGGAGCCATCGCCTCTTGTGAAGAGCCGGGCCCATTTCGAATCATTTGCGCCAGCCTCGCGCGCACATCACGTTGGCATGCCGCCGCTGGTTCGGTCTCCCGCGCAGCTCGAGACCTCAGCGCTTGTCTGCGGTGTGTCTTGCCTCGAAGCGTCCTCTCCTGCCTTGGGCTCCTCGCATTTGGAGCTCCCAGCTTTACCCCGTAGCTATGCACGTTGTGGATTCGCGGCGCCAGTTTCGCGTGCCACGAGCCCAGACCTTTCGACGTTTCTAAGGTCCTCCCTGTGCCTAGGCTTCGCCCCTTTTGCTTTCAGGTCCGCGGATTCGGGCTCCATGACGTTCTCGCGGGCACCCTCTCACTTAGACTCTCCGGTTCCCATTTTTGGAAGCACACGGCTGGGTCTTCTGGTGTTGGTTTCGGCTGGAGCGAGCTTTGGCTCCCTTTTGTTCCCGCGGAGCTTTTCTCGCCCAAGTCTGGTGGTGCCTGTCTTGGCTTTCTGTCACTCAGATCTCCTTGCGTTCTTGCGTAGCTTTATGCACTCAGGATTGCCTGTCCCCATCTTCTCATCCGTTGTTCTTGGCCTCATTGTGTTTATCCTGGACCATGCACACACGGGATTCCCAACATTCGTGCGCAGCTTCGCTCAGCTTGAGCCAGTGATTTCGGCCTTGGAAGGTACATTCCCTGAGTCCTTTTTGTCCCTCCAATCCTTGGCATGTTTGGATGCATCGCTGTCTGCCTTACGCTCCCATCATACTGGACTAGCTTCGTTGCTGCGATCGCTCGCCCAACCCGGCGTGATTGCTTTGGTCTGTGGAGTGGGCAGAATGGGACTCCCTGTCCCAGTCTTAGGTGCAGCATACTCAGGCTCCAGCCTGCTGCTACGTAGCTTTGCGCAAGCAAGCTCCGCCCCCTCGGTGCTACAATCAGGGCACCCGGAGGCACCGCTTTCCTTGCGCTCCTCTGCACGCACTGGCTCTTGTGTGCTTGTTTGTGGGCGGGCTGTACCAGGCCTCCCGCTGTTCTCATCGGATTTTTTGCAGCCTGAGCTTTCTACGCTGCCGCATAGCTCTGGTTGCTCCGGTCTGGTCGTGCCGGCCCTGAAGTCCACGCTTCTGGGACCTTTGGCTTTTGTGCGAAGCCATGCTCGCTTAGATGTCTTGGTCTTTATCTGCGGTGCTGCAAAGCTTGGATTGATATTGTTGCCACGTGGTCTCTTATGGCCAGGCTCTTGTGCTTCAAGTGCCGCCACGTTGCAAATCGACGACACACTGTCTCTGGTGAACACGTTCAACTCAGGATTTTCGCTTCCTGTCCAAAGCTATGCTTGACTCGGCTTCTGCTTATCGGCTTCCGGCGCCAGCAGACTCGAAAGCCTGCTGTTTCTACGATCAATGGCATGCCTTGGCTTAGTCGTTCCGCTTTGTGGGTTGTCGCGATCGGGTTTGTCCCTCCTGGCTCTTGGGTCAGCCGTCCTCGGCCCTTCTG